TGGACTTAACATTTTCGATCAGTAAGGGGAAGACTAAAAAATAGTCAAGTGGTGCAAATTGCCGTTAATCTTATCTCTAAATCTTTTTAGCTCTTTCTACTCTCCTGAATGTTACGTCAAACTGGTCTCCGCGTCAATTGGTTGAACAAGATCTTGGCGACCAAAGCAAAAGACGAACCCACGTCGCACGCAAGGACATATTTGTAACATCTCGTTCCTGAACGTTTTGTTCATTGTAGTGTATATGACAGGATTGCAAGCTGAATGCATTCCGGCAATGAGTGTCACGCAGGAAAATAAGATGCGTGACATCTCTAGGGAAGTAACAGCTTGAAGGATATGTACAATAACAAAAGGCGTCCAACAGGCCGCAAATACAAATAGCACCGTGAAGACAATTCTTGCTGTTTTCGTTTCGCGTTGAAAGTTTCTTTCCACTTCTCGTCCATTGTTCCAGCGTTGCATTTGCTTCTTGTGAAAACGAACTTTGAGAAATACTCGCAAATAACAGTAAAACATTATTAAGAGTGGTATCAGAAAGCATGCGACAGCCACCAGCAGAATGTAACCTTGGTCCTGAGTAAAGGACATTTTACACATAGAGCTCAGAGATGAATGGACATATTTGTTCCATCCAAGGACTGGCAGGACACCCATGACAATGGACACAGTCCATACCGTGGTCAGTAGTGCCCAGGCCTCTTTCGGCCTGAGTTTACTTCCAGGTTGGGAAACTATGGCACGATATCTGAAATTAAGAAACGTTTAAGTCTTGATAAATTTTAGTGGAAATCAACCGATCAGATAGATTAGTAGCGTACGCGAGGTCTGTTCCTTAATGCAACTAGTCCAAAAAGTATAAGCTACATATTTTAATTAACACCGCTGTAGATGCATCTCACCAAAATAAGAAAAAATATTCATGCAGGCCAGCTAACTATCAGGTAGACATGAAAAAGGGCTCTTATACTGGGGGATAGCAGGGACGAAAGAAGCGAAGCCTAAGGAAAAGCAGAGGGGGACTGAAGAGCCTGTGGACAAAGCCTTGACATTATGATGCTCGGCAGCCTTACCTTATCCTGTATGTCACCTGTGTCGGTTGTGAAGGAAAACAGTTCAGCCTAGGGAATAGTTCTCCCAAGCTGAGAGAGCAGGTTAAGTTCTCACCTGTCAATACTAATGGCTGCCATGGTCAGAATGGATGCCGCTCCAGCAATGACGTTAACAGCGCCATTAAACTGACACAACGCATCCCCATAGATCCATCGCTGTAACAAAATAGTGGCGACAGCGAAAGGAAAAAGCAGCAGCCCAATTAACAAGTCGACTACAGCTAGATTTGAAATGAACATATTAGCCACGCGTACTCTTGGTCGAGTTCGTTGACGGTAAATTACGAGCAGAACAAGAATATTTCCAATAACTACAGCAGCCATTATAAGTATGGTCAATGTAGCTTGTAACGCGCCGGTCGTCAGGTTGTTGGGCCGAGCATTATTTTGAGTGATCAGAGTTTCGTTTCTTCCTGAAGAACTCATCATTGTCTTGTTGTTACGCTCGTGTCTTTTCGTGGACTAATTAACCCGTCCTGTAGTAATCAAAACAAAATTTTAAGAAAGAAGTTATGTCACGACCGTGGGAACCCATTATTCCCTACAACACCAGACGCGCTAACGTCGGAGCTACTTAGGATTTCTTAGGCAAGCTAGGTTATTTGCGATCAGTACTAGAAAAACGTTTATAGCAGAAGCGTGGGGGAAATTGCCAACAGTTAAAAATAAATTAAGGAGAAAACACAGAAAAGGAGGGATAAAAACAACAAATACTTTTAATATATCTAAAGAACTTAAATAATTAAAAATACTTAAATACTTTTTGCACAGACTTGAACTGGCGGGACTGTCGCCCAGGCTATAGTAACGCACTGATCTGCAGTTTCGAAAATAATTTTTTTTTTCAAAATTTTAGATCTGGTGGAGCGTCAAAACGTAATGGCTATTAAGCAAACTAATAAGCCAAAGACGCGAATTACGCCAACCAATTTATAAACCTCGCTAAGCTCCTGCTTTCACGAGGGCTGATAAGTGATAAAGTTGATTTTTTTATTATTTAAAGAAGAAGTGCATGAACAAAGGGAAGAAGAAATTATCCCACCCAGCTTTTTCTGAGCAGAATTCTACTTAGAATGAATCAAGTCAGAGAATTACCGGGAAAAAAGAAATCAAATTGATCTTCCTTACCCTGATGTACCTTGTGGTTTCAATGAAAAATTATGAGATAAAGCGGACCATTCGAATCATGATGTTGATAATGTATACCAAAATTAAATTGTCATTTACCCTTGACATGCGAAATTTCCTATTGCGTTTTATCTTCTGTTTTCAGAAATGGTTTTTAAGGACTTTTAAGGCAGGTTAGTTTTTTATGCAGGTCCAACATCGAAGCGAGAACAAAAGCAATGAACGAAGTGATAGTCTTACTGTATTGGTGCTGAGAATGACAAAACGTCACTACTTTATTTGCTACACTGAATTCTACCCAGTTGCAAGATTTCACCAATGCGTACTGCTGTCTTTCGGTTTAACCTTTTTTGGGGGCGGAAATCCCACAATTTGTCCCAGAGATAAACATGTCTTGCATTATATCAACTAACCTTCAAGAAGTGTAAATTGCCATCTTAGTTTTTTTCAGTTTGGTTAGTGAAAAAAGCTGAAAAGGGATCACACATAAGTCGTTCTCCAAAGTTCATGAAAGATGATGTTCTATCACTTGCGTCCTTTTTATGTAACAATTCCCCTTTTGATAGCTTACTTAAAACTCGGGATATTGAGAAATTTACTTCTAAGAAACACAATTAAACAATTTGTATTATACAAAAACTTATCCAAATAGGCAGCTGGCTCGAAGCTGGCCTTAAATAGTGTTTATTTGGACAGTTAATTGCCATATGTTATCCATATGCGTTTGAAAATCTCGATTGTAAGTGTAACCCGTTTTTCATTGTACATTTTAAGCGAATTAGGATGTGCAGTATTTTTTAGAAAGTGTCGGTAGGCACGTAGGTAACACACGATGATTTTTCTTTTTATTAATCTAGTGTAATCTATGTAATGGGAAACGTCATGTACAAAGCTTTTTAAGATATTTATTAACAGTCTCTGTAAAATAATGTATGCTTGATTTGTCCTTTCTTAAAAACAGTTGTCCCTTTTGCTATTATTGTCCTGTCATTTTCTTTCCGCAAGTTGATCTTTAAACAAATTAAACAAGGAAATGCCTACTTTAGAAATTCAGTTATTATGCAATGATTTTCGGTGGATTTCTTTTATCTTACAATCCAATCTGTTTAACTCTNTTGTATTATACAAAAACTTATCCAAATAGGCAGCTGGCTCGAAGCTGGCCTTAAATAGTGTTTATTTGGACAGTTAATTGCCATATGTTATCCATATGCGTTTGAAAATCTCGATTGTAAGTGTAACCCGTTTTTCATTGTACATTTTAAGCGAATTAGGATGTGCAGTATTTTTTAGAAAGTGTCGGTAGGCACGTAGGTAACACACGATGATTTTTCTTTTTATTAATCTAGTGTAATCTATGTAATGGGAAACGTCATGTACAAAGCTTTTTAAGATATTTATTAACAGTCTCTGTAAAATAATGTATGCTTGATTTGTCCTTTCTTAAAAACAGTTGTCCCTTTTGCTATTATTGTCCTGTCATTTTCTTTCCGCAAGTTGATCTTTAAACAAATTAAACAAGGAAATGCCTACTTTAGAAATTCAGTTATTATGCAATGATTTTCGGTGGATTTCTTTTATCTTACAATCCAATCTGTTTAACTCTGTTTTTGCGCCTAAGTTGCTTAGAATTTGTCCTCCTTGTATCCTGCTGATGTTTTCTTTCACGATCGATTGACAAAACTGCCGGTATGAATATAAAGTCAGTTTCAAATTATAAAAATTAATACTTGGCTTCAAAGGTGAGGGATTTAGAGCGAATGAACCGGTATTAGATTCGGGGACGATTAATTCAGACATTTTGTTTTGTTTTATACTATCAGCCCCGAAGCCCTGAGAGAAGTACTTAAATATATGAAAACTGACGTATAACGAACAGTGAAAATTACAGAGGCGAATTTCAACGAATTTGAAATGCTAAATTCCGGCTATTAGTCTTTCTTCTCAAGTGGGATTGAAAAAATTTATGCAACAAAGCAAAAAACAAAAAGAAATTTTGTTTTAACTTTAAATGATGCTTTGAATTGTTTTCTTGCCCGCAAGTCACCCAACCATAACAAGGGTATGAGGGCTACCAAAACCGATCAAACCTTTAGTTTGATCGGTTTTGCATTATGATTGTATGAGACTGGCATTAAGGAAATAAAAACTTTGACATGCCGGAAAAATAACAAAGACAAAACTTTTTCAGTGGGAACAATAGTAGCGTCTTCCTTCTTCCAAAATACCACCAAAAATTTGGAAAATGTTAAACATAATTATTTTTTAATTTTCGAACTATATACATAAATACAATTCTTCTTTAACAAGTGCAAAAATGTTAAAATATTTGTTCTCTTTACATGAAATGAAATGAAATAAGTTGAAAGACTGCTACATACATTGCTCTGATCATTATTCAACTGAATCGTAATTATTATTATACTGATTGTAACTTTTCCATATGTATTAAAATACAAATGATGAATTTAAATACTAAATTAACAATAACAGTCAACTCACTATATGATGGCCACAGTTAGAACAGGTCTATCTATCCATCTTAAATGTCTGTCTTAAGAGGAGTTAAGTTATAGTTAAATGACTGTCAAACCCAAAAAGNTTGCCCGCAAGTCACCCAACCATAACAAGGGTATGAGGGCTACCAAAACCGATCAAACCTTTAGTTTGATCGGTTTTGCATTATGATTGTATGAGACTGGCATTAAGGAAATAAAAACTTTGACATGCCGGAAAAATAACAAAGACAAAACTTTTTCAGTGGGAACAATAGTAGCGTCTTCCTTCTTCCAAAATACCACCAAAAATTTGGAAAATGTTAAACATAATTATTTTTTAATTTTCGAACTATATACATAAATACAATTCTTCTTTAACAAGTGCAAAAATGTTAAAATATTTGTTCTCTTTACATGAAATGAAATGAAATAAGTTGAAAGACTGCTACATACATTGCTCTGATCATTATTCAACTGAATCGTAATTATTATTATACTGATTGTAACTTTTCCATATGTATTAAAATACAAATGATGAATTTAAATACTAAATTAACAATAACAGTCAACTCACTATATGATGGCCACAGTTAGAACAGGTCTATCTATCCATCTTAAATGTCTGTCTTAAGAGGAGTTAAGTTATAGTTAAATGACTGTCAAACCCAAAAAGTAGGTACCCATCTTGTTACAGGAGACAGTTACCTATATGCAATTAAATGATCAAAAGTATCCCCACAATTACAATGTAACTACAAGTAATTAATACCATTCTGACTGCAGCAGGAAAAAAGGCTTGAATAATAATAATAATAATATTATTAATGCAATGTTAATTCCATTCCTTATTCCTGTCTCTAATCCAGAGGTAAAATTTACAGCCTGTACAGTGCATTCTCTTTATAATTTAAGTACCAAGGCTTCAAAAACATGGAATTACTGTTTCCAATCAAATTCTCCCAGCGTCTCTAATTATGTAATAAGTTTTAAGCAATTACTTTAAGTCTCAGTAATAAATATGTACTCTCCACCAACAAAAAAAATACATCAAACAAATTTATGATCATAATCCTTTTTCATGTATGATAATAGAATTTTACCCAAAATGAGAATTCAACTCATTAATAAGCTGCTAATGACTTAATAAATTTACATTTATGATTTTGTTACTAAGACATTAGTCACTTAATTCTGTCTGTTAGGAAATACTGTGCATGCTCTCAACTTGTGAAATATTAGGTGCACCTAAAAGCTCATGTTGAAGTAACTTGTACATTTATAAATATCAAGTCCCAAGGAAAATGTTGTCAACTGCAGAGCTAAGCTCTGATAAATTTATAATGAGAATCTCCAGGTTTCTGGGTGACCCATATCGTAGAGACAATGCTTGCAGGAGGTAGGGCCAAGTGGTCTGTTAGCATGTTAGACTCACCATCTGGTGGCCTGAGTCCAGCTCTGACCACCAGCTGAATTTGTTTCCTTCAAGTCTCAGGATGAAATCATTGGTCATGCTTATAAATAGCCACCTGGCTGCCTCCTAACAGTTGTTTTGTTTTGTTTTGTTTTTTAAATTCTGTTATGTTCTATTTGGATCATATGTTAAAAAATTATTAGAGCAGAATGCCTGTGATCTACTTAGCTTGAGTACCTAAGTTCAGTTCCACTCAGTTCCATTTTTTTTTTCTTTTTTTTTTGTTCATTTCCCTTTATTTGAGGGCAATATTTTATAAACAACTTTAAAGTATGGTATTTGTTGGTATCAAACATATTATAAGGAAGATTTATTTTGTATCGAATATGTGGCTATTAGTGATGTCTTCACCACCAAGAAAATGAAGAAAATAAAACAATAAAACGGGAATATTAAAATATAGATGTTGCACTGAAGTCACAAAGAACTTGAAAAGTTAACATTAAAGACAGTGATAATGATGATGATGACTTAATGAAAACAATAATGAGAATGATAACAAAAGAAATCCTCAGTGTGTTATAAACAAAATTCAATTCAACTCAATCAGCACCTGAGATGCTGTTAAAAAAGAAAATGTTATTATTAATTTTGTACCCTTCATTATACACATTTTATTTCTTTCTTTACCCTAATTTGTTATTTTTTGGTGTGGTTTCAGTTCACTGTGTTTGACTTTCTATCATTAGCAAACAGCTGTAACAACTTAAAAAGCTTTACTAAGCTTCCCACACTGATAATTGAAGAACTAAACAACTGACCAAAACTGGCTTATTAATTGTAATATTAATATTGTCGTTGGCAAGAATCGCAAAAGCAATTGCTGACTCTAGTCCCTTTAAAACATCTTCATATATAAGTGTATTAAGAGCACACATTCTTCTGGATAATTTTTTTAATACAGTCAAATAAGGATAAAGGTGTCCATTGCACTCTACCTACAGCAACAAGCACTAACTCAGAATATTAATTGTCTTAGCTTTTATCAGATATGATACCACTTTCTTGGGTCTTTACCTCTGTGGAGCCTTGATATTTGTCTCTGATTTCTTCTAGAAGCCTAATCAAGTTCTTTAATCCAAACAAATATCCTGAATCAGGCCCATTGCGCACAGGATCCCCAACAAAAACACCATATGTTGTGTGAGCAAAATCAATCATTCGCACATCCACTTTGCAAGAATGATGGCTGTTAAATTTGCCATTCTTGTTTAAACTACAGGAGCTGCAACTTCTGTTAAAATTCTCCTTTTGTCTATTGGTGTCTTGTTCTTTTTCTGTATTACAACTGCATTTCCTTTGCATGTCTCCTTCGTACATGAGGAGTAGAGAACTTGAGTAGAATCTGTATGAATTTTGCTTCTCGATAACTTTGTACAATTTTCGGAGTTTATAGAGTAGAGGTTCTATTAACTCCATTCTAAACTGTTCTCCATTGTGCAGAAAAGTCACAAGTTCTTCTCTAAAACCTTCTTCACATAATTTCAAGCCATAGTATTTGTTCCGACACATAAACCTGCCTGAACCACTGTTATACACCTAGAAACACAACCCAATGAAAGTCAGAAACATGACAGAGCAGAAGATATAACTTTCAGATAAAATAATTAACTTCTGTTAGAACCAAATGTTGTTAAAACTACTGAAGGAATCTCACGTTAACAGACTTTCCTGACTCAGAGTGCCTCCTGAGAAAACATATCACAAAGGGTGCACAGCATAATACCTGCATTCCACCAGCTCTAATTCCAAGAGTCTTAGAAGTCGACTGCTCTGCTTTAGCTATCTGTCTCTCTCTTTTGTCACTTGGTGCATCATCTCCATGATGTCGTGTTCCCATTTTCAAATCCAAAATACAGGGAGTTGAAAATCTATGTGCAACATTCTCCAACACAATGAATGCTAATCACAGTTAAGGTCAAGATAGAACACAATACTGGTACAGCACAAATACCCACAAATGATCTAATCGATGCCAGGGGCATCTATTTAATTTTAAAGGTCCAAGAGGTGGGGTTTAATAGATAGGAAGCATTTAAATAGAGAGAGGTGTTTATACCTATTTAACAAGCTCAAAAGAGTAACATGCTTTTGCCGAAAATAACAAGACAGTTTCAAAACAGCGGAATATCCAGCCTATCAATTGTTCGCAGATTACAAATGCTTTGGACTGATATTTACTGGAATTGTGTTTGTGCGAAGGTTTATGAGATCAGAGCCTTCAAAGTATAATTGGAGATCAAGCAGTGGAGACTAGGGAAGGCCAATTTATTGAGAATGACGGCGTGCGTATCTGACTGGAAAAAATGGACTGTTTGTTGGAGATAACATCAACATAAATCAGAACATCGGTACTTGACACTAGCTGAAGCCGCCATGGACAAGCGATTTGTCAGCTTTTTGAAATGAAAAGATTCTTTTTGTTTATTGGAAATTTAGCGGCATCTATTGTAGAGAACGTTTAGACACAGGCTGAAGAGCAGCCGCTCTGCAAAACTTATACCCGGCGGAGTGAATTGTTCCGGACAAATCATTTTTGACGTATCGACAAGGTTTCAGACGAGGTAAAGCCACGCGATAAAAAACAAGAAATTCAGCAGCAATCGCTCATGGTTTTAACTTTCTTTTATTGTAAATATGAATGTATTATACAGAATTTTTAATATTATCTTAAAAATCAGATTTTGACTTATTATCTAGGATTCATTTGTAATTTTCAAGTATTGTAAAGTTTTTGTAAATAATTGCGTAATTCAGCCTTTGGCTGCAATGCAGTTTTAATAAACAAACTATCTTTCTATCTAACTATCTATCTAAATCTTTTTTATTACAGTTCTTGCAATCGCCTGCAACGTGTTCTATTAGAGAACAAAGTAATTTTACAAATCTGGTAATCCAGGGGTAATCTGTTTGTTATGTTTCTATTTTGACGAGCTGTCAATTTACAAATGAACCCAACCGTGAAATATCAAGGGGCGTTTTCCAGAATCGTGGGGTTTGAGGGCAAGCGTTTCCTCTTCTCCCCTCCCCCTTCAACCTTTTTTTTTGCTTCCGCTCTAACTTTCACGTAATAACTCGATTGGAAACGCTTGCTACGCAGGCTATCATTTCTATGGTGGATAAGATTACAGACCATGGAAAATTGTTGTCGATTTGTTTTTACAATAACATTGACAGTTTTGACATCCATTTCTATTGAAGTTTCTTGGAATAAAAAATTGTGCCACCATCATGTCACACATGTCATGGACTGTCCTCTTATCAAACATAGCTCTCAAACAATCAGGGTGCCAGAAATCGTTCATTTATTGTAACAATTTATATTTCCTACCTTACAAACTGTTGCAAGTTTTATCTTACATGTATTTACCTGTGCAGGCCTTTCTCTGGAGTTGAATCTCCCTCATCTTCCCCACTGCTACCATCATTGTCGGAATTAGTGATGCAGAATTTGGTTGAGCCCTCCTTTTTTTGGCACTCTAAAGCCAACTTGTCTGGGTGTGCAGTAAGATAAATATAGCCATCTTTGTCCTCTTTAACACTTACAAAAACCACTCCTGTTTGTAGTAGATAAGCCAAATATCACAATATTGAAAGCTTAAAAGGAAAAGGATACTGTGTGTTTTTGAAGATGATCCCAGTTCTCTCATTCTGCTCAACTGTTCTTTGTGACAATGTAAACTCCAAGGGTTAACTCCAGCACTCCCTAAAACAACAAGCAATAGATAAGTACACATGAAAGGTATACGATCATATACCCCAGAACTATCTTAGCAAGAAAGAAAATAATCAATTCTTATCGCTGACAGGGAGAAATAAATGTTGCCACATGTAAATAATGTACATAACAAGCTATGCAAAATACCAATTTCACCGAAAATAGAAAAATGATATGATCCATTCCAAAAAACAACAGTTTACAATGTATATTGTAAAATAGTGTGGAGATTATTTTCCAACCACTTAGAAATTATTTGCTTAATTATTCATTGTCATTAATTCAAATGATTATGCAATACAGTATGGAAGCACTCAGTACTACCATTAAGTGTAGTTCCCACTGGCATAACAGCTTGTACAATAGGGTTTCCGCTGTCAGGCCAACCATGAGAGACCGTATCTAAAGAAGTAAAATACATGGTTTGTTCTAATTTCTTATAACCAACAAGTTCTCTTCAGTACACCTCCTCAACCATCTAAAAACCAAACACATGGGATGTGCAAGAAAAGCTTTAACTTTTCTACTTTTAATTACTTTTTCTACTAAGCAATAATTTTTTAGTCAAAAAAGACATGCTTATCTGTTAATTTAAGAAGACATTTGAGCTATCCTTTAGAGAACGTCTATTACAATGTAAGTTTCCATCAACTTTAACAAAATCTTGACTAAGGATTCTGGTTAGCCACTATCTTACACATCCCAAATATTAACTGCAATAATTCAAGAAGAAAAACAAAGGAATTCTTAAATGTCAAAGAATTTTGAATTTCTTCAAGAATTATTAAATTTTAATCCACTTGTATATCAAAAACTCGACACAGTGTTTCATCAAATATCCAGGCAACTTGATTCTTACGCTTGATGTTTGGTGTCTGGAAATCAGAAACCAACACTGAATCTCGTGTTTGATGTATCACCGCAATCAAACTAAATCACTATACATCCCACCTGATGAATGGTCTGGCATATCCCCTGCTTCAAACAATCCATCTGGTCTTGTATTCACCAATTCAAGTTTTCCACTTTGAAGGCGGACCCTGAAAGACACATGTGCTGAAATTTAGGAGAAAGAACAGTGCACACTCAAGTTGTAAGGCCTTTATTCAAAGACTACTGTTTGTTTACCCCACTTGTGCTTGGTGAAAGATACCTCAATTTGGTTCCAACCAGAATGTAGTCTGTGAGGGATACATGTAGTTGTGAGAACTAATGCTACTCAAACATGAGATGGTGTTCTAATATCAAGAGACTGAGAAGTCAACTTATGAATTAAGAAAACAACAGTGAATTATGCATATCCTCTGAATATAATGAGACAAATTGGTAAGATAATAGCAGGCGTTTTTGGAGGAAATGTTGTCTGCAGAAAATACTATAGTGTTTGAAGCACTTAATGTAAAGAAAAAAAGTTAAGCATTACTTTTGAATCAATTTAACAAATAATTTGTTATTGATTGACATCAATTTTCCATGGTCTGTACACTTGTCAGCCATAGGAAATCACATCAGAATCTTCAAAACTCAAGTAGAACCCAGAACCACAGGAAACTGGTTTCAATGCAAAGATTTGAACATCTTGATGTCATTTCTATAGCCTGCGTAGCAAGCGTTTCCTCGCGAGGTTCGTCTAGAAAGCTGGGGCAAGAGCAAAAAAAAAAAAAAAATGAATGACGGGGGAGGGGGAGGGGAAAGAAGGAACTGCTTGCCTGCAAATCCCACGATTTTGAAAAACTGCGTTCGCCCACGAACACAGCCTCTGATTGGCGCGGTGCGGTTAGTGTTGATTACTTAGCATTCGAAACATCAATCAAACCAGGTATGCTTTGTTTTCGTGCGCCACAGATCTGGTCTCATCTGATTTGTGCTCGCAGATTACAAATGCTTTGGACTGATATTTACTGGAATTGTGTTTGTGCGAAGGTTTATGAGATCAGAGCCTTCAAAGTATAATTGGAGATCAAGCAGTGGAGACTAGGGAAGGCCAATTTATTGAGAATGACGGCGTGCGTATCTGACTGGAAAAAATGGACTGTTTGTTGGAGATAACATCAACATAAATCAGAACATCGGTACTCGACACTAGCTGAAGCCGCCATGGACAAGCGATTTGTCAGCTTTTTGAAATGAAAAGATTCTTTTTGTTTATTGGAAATTTAGCGGCATCTATTGTAGAGAACGTTTCGACACAGGCTGAAGAGCAGCCGCTCTGCAAAACTTATACCCGGCGGAGTGAATTGTTCCGGACAAATCATTTTTGACGTATCAACAAGGTTTCAGACGAGGTAAAGTCACGCGATAAAAAACAAGAAATTCAGCAGCAATCGCTCATGGTTTTAACTTTCTTTTATCGTAAATATGAATGTATTACATAGAATTTTTAATATTATCTTAAAAATCAGATTTGACTTATTATCTAGGATTCATTTGTAATTTTCAAGTATTGTAAAGTTTTTGTAAATAATTGCGTAATTCAGCCTTTGGCTGCGATGCAGTTCTACTAAACAAACTATCTATCTATCTAACTATCTATCTAAATCTTTTTTATTACAGTTCTTGCAATCGCCTGCAACGTGTTCTTTTAGAGAACAAAGTAATTTTACAAATCTGGTAATCCAGGGGTAATCTGTTCGTTATGTTTCTATTTTGACGAGCTGTCAATTTACAAATGAACCCAACCGTGAAATATCAAGGGGCGTTTTCCAGAATCGTGGGGTTTGAGGGCAAGCGTTTCCTCTTCTCCCCTCCCCCTTCAACCTTCTTTTTTTGCTTCTGCTCTAACTTTCGCGTAATAACTCGATTGGAAACGCTTGCTACGCAGGCTATCATTTCTATGGTGGATAAGATTACAGACCATGGAAAATTGTCGTCGATTTGTTTTTACAATAACATTGACAGTTTTGACATCCATTTCTATTGAAGTTTCTTGGAATAACAAATTGTGCCACCATCATGTCACACATGTCATGGTCTGTACTCTTATCAAACATAGCTCTCAAACAATCAGGGTGCCAGAAATCGTTCATTTATTGTAACAATTTATATTTCCCACCTTACAAACTGTTGCAAGTTTTATCTTACATGTATTTACCTGTGCAGGCCTTTCTCTGGAGTTGAATCTCCCTCATCTTCCCCACTGCTACCATCATTGTCTGAATTAGTGATGCAGAATTTGGTTGAGCCCTCCTTTTTTTGGCACTCTAAAGCCAACTTGTCTGGGTGTGCAGTAAGATAAATATAGCCATCTTTGTCCTCTTTAACACTTACAAAAACCACTCCTGTTTGTAGTAGCAGCAACATTTTGTTGTCACAAAGACATAATTGAAATTTTTCATAAGCCTATTTATTATAATTTAAGCAATAGATATTTTCCACCTAAGATTCCAGGGGGCATATACATGAAGTTGAGGCACAAATGGACAATATCATACAAAACACTGTATTTTGTCCACCCAATAGCTTTGACACCACAATGCAGTAAAGGATCTAACCCAGAACATTGTTTGCAAAAAACAATAAGTAACTCCGTGATCAGACTATCCTTTAGGAAACACAGAGAATTTATTTTACTTTGTTCCAATATAATAAAAACAGTCTCCAATACATTTAAATTTTTAAGAAGAATTTAATTTTTAAATTTTGTGGACAACAATGACCACAAAAATGTTATTTACATCATGCAAAAGTGGTAGAGGAAGCCAATAATTTATCATTCATTAATACAAAAAGAAAGATGAAGATATATAGCAGATAAAAAATGTCAAACAAACACATTCCTCGGATTTAGCAATATACAGATGATCTTTCTTGGTAGACTGCAGTGGAAGAGGGAAAACAAACCAAAGATTGCATGACAATAGCCTTTATGCAAATAATTTTTTAAAATTGTAGCCAGTCAGCTGAACAAAATAAACTGATTCATGATAAATTGCACTTGATTCACAAGTCAAGCATGTCATGTATGGCAACATTCTGCGATGGGTACACTTAAATAAAAAGAATAACGAGAGCAAAAGAATAAAGTGCGCAATGTGTACAAGAAGATTTTTTACAGGGATCTTTTAGCATTATTGTCAAGTGGAAAAAAGATAGGCCTAATCACAAGTTCGCTCCCTTATAACGGTCAATTCTTTCTTTGACTTAAGAAACAACAAGAAACGATTTTGGTCATTTTCACCTCGAACATGTGTAAACACGATCTCTATGTAAGGCGTTATTGACGATTTTGATTTGAATCTGGCTTTGGGTTGTATCAAGTTTACATACACAGTAGGGGGCGACAGTCTCGACGAAGATTTCTCACCCACAGAATTTGTATGTCCAATAACAAAAAGCAAAATGCAGGTTCTCAGGGGCTTAACAATTTTAGAAGCACTAACATATTAATCTATTGTAAAATACATTGGTTTTGCACAATGAATCGTTGTATTGTAGAAAGGATTCTCCTGCGTTAACAAGTATCCCTAGATCTGGATCATAACTATCGAGGGAATTACGACACGTTGGGATGAAACTCATAACTCGACAGCCATTTTTATTTCAACCAAAAAGCTAATTAGGCACGAAAGCAAGAAATTTTTACATTTCTGGTACTTTTGAGCCTTCTGTCCTGACATACAACTTAGACAGTTTTATTTTCCGGGCGAGAAAGATAGTCGATTAGCTGAGAATAGCCGGTTTTTCGTCGAAACGAAATTTGCAAGAAGAAGAAAGCGTTATTTTATTCTATACGTACCTCGGTATTCAGGAGTAAATGGTCGCATTTCTGGAGGCTGTTCCTCGTAAAATCGATGTTCCCTTTGCTTTAAGGGCTTGCAAACAGATACATCGTCAAATCTCATCATGGAGCAATGGCCACCGACTTGGTGGACAAACGGTTCTAGAGGAACGAAATCTCGTTTCGCTACTCGGTCGGGCATAACCGCCATGAAATAGTTCGTTTTCAGGAACAAAATTTGTAATCGATCAATAGTGTCACTTATACAATAGTGTTACTTCTTTATAAAGAGGGAAATGTTAAAGGTTTACTACAAGACCAGAGGAAATGCTAAGTGTCTCAATTTTCTTCGCTGCTGTCACGAGACTTCACAACAATAAACCCGAGCGTTTATGCAACGACGCTGGCAACAATTTTTTTCCTCCCTTTTTACCATGACGTCACCGAATAAAGATCACGTGAATAAAACACGCTTAATTGATTGGATGACGCTGAGAAGCGAAAACACTGAAGACGTGCCATGACTTGGCACCTTGCCTCATGAAAATAAAGAAGTGAACGCGCCTTGTGAACAAGGAAATATTTATTGCATGCTGATCGAAAATTGGAATCAAACAGCTGAAAGCTAAGGAGTAGCCTGATGGGATCGGACGTCACAAGCCCTTAAAACTGAATGCGTGGAGCAAGAGACGTGTCAATGGCTGAAACAAGACGTTCAGATCTTCAGGTTTATTACATAAAGACTTTGACATTTTCTCCATTTCTCTTCCAAAATTCACCCTATTAAGTTCAAGGTCAGGCACGCAATAATCGGTCACGTGATCAACTTTCTGTAAACACGATCGATATGCTGTCAAACCCCCCGTAAGCGAACCGCAGGGGGAACAGGGGGTCTGTTCCGAGAAGATGTCCAGGTACATCTGCTTTATGGAAGATAATTTATTGGATGCAATGTCTAAGTTAGGATATGTGTAGTTCCATGTTGTCACTAAAGTGTTTCATTTGAGTATAAACACAGTGAACACAGCGAGAAATAGAGATCAGAAAATGGAGGTAAAAAACAATGGAAAATAATTAACCGTCAGGCCCAAAAAGTAGTCGCGGTCGCTTACAGGAGGTGGTCGTTTACTAGAGTTCTAACTGTAAGGCTGTGACTGTTACAGTTTTGGTGTTTTGGATGGGTGGTCGCTTATGGGAGGTCAGGAGGTCACTTACGAGTGGTGGTCGCACATGGAGGTTCGACTGTATTGAAATTCTAACATGACTCCAAGGCTTTCTGGTCATTTTTCTATATTTGGTCTGGTTTTCTTTGTACTCAAGTCAGTCTTTCGGAAGTGAGTCAATGATTTGCAATTTTGACCGTAGAGCCTCGGAGTTGTGTTAGAATTTTAATATATCGAACGTGGGCTATTCAATTAACCCGCGTTCGATATACAGTGAAACCTCTCCTTTGAGACACATCAAGGACACCACCATTCAGGGGACATAAGATTTGGTCCGGGGGGGGAAACCTTATAAGAGGCTAATGAGGATGTGACTCTGGATGGGGCTGCATTTTCACGACTGGATTGACTAAAATTAGGTCGCATTTTCAATAGAGTGACTAGAATGGGGTCGCACATTTTCGGATTTTCTGGGGTAAGACAGTTCTTCATATTTACGGTTAGCAAACGTACCAGAATGTTTGTACTGCCGATGAAAAGTTTAGTGTTCTTCATTCAATCTAAAACATGGGTTAATTCATAGAAAATAGAAGGTAACTAAGTTGGGATCGCGAAAATTACACATTTGCCGAAAAGTGACTAAGATGGGGTCTATAATTGGCCATAGTATAGACTATAATGGAGTAGGGGCTCTGAGAGGCAAGCGGCACATACCCAGCAAAAATTTACCCAAGTGACCCTCCCCCCCGGGATTTGGTCCCGGATAAATTCACATAATCTTTGTATCAATGTTACCTCTAAGGAAGGTACATCTCTATTCAGGGGAAAGGGACACTTTTTCAGGGTCCCGAAAACTTAGCCTGCGAAAACATGAAAAGAGCGAGGACAAATGGATGTTTTCGCAGGCTACCGAAAACTGGGTTTAACCTCTAGTCAAGGGAGTAGCAATCAAAAGTATGTCAAAAGTGACTGACCACAAAAATCGTCGATAAGTATAAGTGTTCGCTAGTCACAATGGGAAGATCTTTCAAAACGTGAATTAACTCACTTCAATCAATGTACTAACATCGCAGAGGTAAGTTAATCGTGACTTTTTATACATTATCTAGCTACTACAATGCCGCTGCAGCAGATTTCGTAGACTGCAAGAGCAAGAGACCTTTTTCTGCTTTTTCGGCGCTAATAATATTATTTTATTTTTTGGTTAAACATTAACAAGAGAGAATGATCTAAGAAGATGGGAGAGGGAGAAATGGCCCGAAAAAGTAGGTAGGGGGGAGAAATTGGGCCGAAAATGTAGGGGAGGTGGGAGAAAATGAAATGTTGGGAGTGGGGAGATATTGATGAGAAGGTAATGATTAACCTTTTACCATTTTTTTTTCAACCCGCATCACACACGGCGGCTAAAGACAGCAGAGGTTGGCAAAAAGGAAACCTGGGTCTTAAACAGACTCACTACTGAACTGAGTCCTGGAGTCCGGGTGACTAGTCAAAACTCAGTCGTTGAGTTCCCCGACCTCCCAGAGGATCGAGTGATGCTACTTTTTAGGTAGACTAAGAGTAGTCCCCATTTTTCCTCAGGGATAGTAGAGCGAGCGAAACGCGAGCGCGCGTGAAAATCACCCCGCCGCGTGTCACCTTTCAGTCGCGTGAAGTGATTTTCAGGCGCGCTCGCGTTTCGCTCGCTCTACTATCCCTGAGGAAAAATGGGGGACCACTTGTAGTCTACTTTTTAGACATCAGGAAGACGGACTCAGAGAAGAGATTATAAGAGCAGGCTAGGGTCCTAACCAGTGTCAGGAACACATGGGCTCCTCAAAGTCAGCGTGACTAGATTTTACCGTAAAATCTTGCAACTTGCCTTTTCCTTGACTAGGGAAAGGCAAGTTGCAAGTTTGGGCCTGTTGTTTATAAGCGATCTGCGTATCTCACCACTCGATAGCCTGTTCCAGGCTCAGAGATAGTCGCGCCCGCTCAGCCTAGTCCCTAGGNCAGGAAGACGGACTCAGAGAAGAGATTATAAGAGCAGGCTAGGGTCCTAACCAGTGTCAGGAACACATGGGCTCCTCAAAGTCAGCGTGACTAGATTTTACCGTAAAATCTTGCAACTTGCAACTTGCCTTTTCCTTGACTAGGGAAAGGCAAGTTGCAAGTTTGGGCCTGTTGTTTATAAGCGATCTGCGTATCTCACCACTCGATAGCCTGTTCCAGGCTCAGAGATAGTCGCGCCCGCTCAGCCTAGTCCCTAGGAGTTCTCTCTTGATCCGTGGGCGCACGCGAAGTCTAAATAAAACGGGAGGAAACTGGGGAGAGATGGAGTTCCTTTTTCCATTTTTTCCCGCCCACCAACTTTTCGCGTGCCTGTTACTTTCGTGTCTTTCCAACTATCTGAGAGCCTGGAACAGCCTAACCACTCGAAGGTTGAGCGTTGGAAAAAGATCTCACGCCAAGATCTCACGCCACCACGCCACATCTCTGATTCACGATACGAACACGTGTTTTACGTTTTGGCCTCGGTGAGTCAGTAACTAGAGACGAAAAATCGATGGGTGCTTAAAGACGGGAGGGGTTTAAAGAAGAAGGGACCCAACCAGGAGAAAGAAGGGGAAAGAGGATTATAAAAAATTGGAAAATACTGTGCAACGCAAAAGTCACGTTAATGATTTTTGCCAAGTTATTTTTCAAAATGTGCGTCGAAAGGGCACGAAAAAAGGGATTTATCTCTAATCGGCTCCTGATCTACGGTTCTTTAATTTTCCTTGTTTTGTAAAGTATATGGAAAATAAAGCAAGGGCCATTGCCACCTTCTACGCCTATATTTCACTATTATGTTCAGATTCACCAGTCCAGACCACTTTCTTCCTATTTGTTTAGCCGGCTTGTGTAAGAAACTTGTAAACCGCCTCATTTTAAGAACTGCACGGTCTCTGTCCTTCCTCCTTCAAGGCCCCTAAATCGGCCTTGCCTGCAAGGGAGGTAAAAATAGAGCAATGGAATACATTTCCATCGGTTTTCAAGTGTCTCTAGCAAAATGAGGCCCAACTTAATGTGTCGCCTTTTTGTACTGTCGGTTTGAGACTGTTTAAATCCCTCTATTATCCCAAAAGATCACCATCAACTGTTGTCATTTGCCTCACTGAAATGTGCTGATGGAGTACAGCTGTACGCCCTACACTACGACATCAGGAGCCCTGACGACACCCACCCCACCCCCAATTTAGCGCTCGATCGCCACGGTCTTACATCTCGGAAGTCTAGTTTTTAGGGCGGTCAAAACTCCCGTTTTCATTCCTACTTTTTCTGTGTTCGCAGGCTAGCCAGTCCCGGCTACAGCCGTTCCTTGGGTTGTCCCTTTGTTGGGAGGAGAGTTTCGCGACGACTCTTAAAACGGCTGTGAAGTTCTACTTCACTGAGATCTAGAATTTATTAAGATTTCGTGAGAAACTGATCACATAAAAAAAATGTCGTTCCATTTACTCTTATTTAGTTCCCCTGGTCTTTGACCGGTGTCCAATCTGGACCGGTCCCAAAAAGTGAACCGGATGTTGTTCATAAAACAGTTCCGGTCTCGTCAAATATCCCACAATACAACGGTGTTACTATATAAATCACCAATCGCCGCTTACTATTCATGTAGTCTTGTCATGGCGACAAGTCTGCATGTTCGTTTTCGGTGGTGAGTAAAACTTCTTTCGAATTGTCTTGTACCCAAGAGAATGATAAAAAACCGGGGAAATAGTATCAGAACGAAAGATGAGGATGGATACACGAGGAGAGCAGGATGTGTCTGCTTCAGAACTGATCAGGAAAAAGAGGTTCGACACATTTGGTTACTTCACATGGCAGAACACATGTCTCGACCGGCCGTCAGGCCAGACACTGTAATGCTGATGTTTGTTCATTGTAGGTCCTATTAATTTCAAGCTCTCGGCATCCTGGTCGGTGGGTTGTTCCATCTGGAGGAGTTGAACCTGGCGAAGAACCAAAAGAGGCGGCAGTTCGCGAAGTTGTGGAAGAAGTTAGTGACAGACTTTTTCGTTAAGCTGAGCTGCGTTAATAAGACAAAGCCTTATCACATAGGACTGTGTTTGCGTTTGGTTTTTTCTTTTAATTCGTTCAGGTTTCGGCGTTATTTGTTAACGTTTAGTCTGTTGTTTGATTGTGGTATTTCTTATCTCTAGGCTGGTGTTCGAGGCAAGCTTGGACGTTTTCTGGGCGAGTTTCAGGTGTGAATATTCCCTTTGTGGTAAAACAGTCGTAACCAATGCTTTTGTTTGCCTGGCCCTTTAGAGAATTGTTGTGTTTAGACTAACCTACCTTTCGCCTTTTAGAATGATGCTAACCAAAGTCGGACCGCTGTATATGTGCTTATTGTGACAGAAGAACTAGAAAGATGGCAGGAAGGTAGGTTCTGTTTATTACAATTCCCGCTGTTTATAGCGCAAAAGCATTTACGACTCAAGTTGAAAGTCGTCGAACCAGTAAAGTTCAGTACAATATTCTAGTGTTTCTAAAGCAACATAAGAAATATAAGCCTTATATTACCTGTTATCTTCTTCTTTCTTCGGAATATTCTTATCCACTCATTTTGAAGCTTTTCTTAAGAATCCAAACGCAAACGGGAACTTGCCAAGCGGTACGCAACACTGAGATACATCGTTTCTTGCTTTGCTCACGTGTATATATAGTGCTCGCTCTTTGGAGATCTAGCTTTCAGTACAAAGTACAACACATCTATATTTATATATTATAGCCAGTTTGTAGCAGCGAAATGTTATATGCGACTTTGTAGAATACGCTATGTCCATCGACACAAGGTACGAGCTGTGCTGTTTTCGAGCATTTATAGCTAAAATGGGGACGAATATTTAACTGTTTACAATGACAAAACTACTCTCGTCGTAAAATACACTGTATCTTTAGCGTTTCTGTGTATTCCTTCAGCGCGTAGAGAACGAATATTGATTCACTGCCAGATTGACCTAAGGTCATCCTTAAGAGAAAACTGTATAATGTTTAGAGTAATCGAGGAAGACATAATGCATTATTGATGAGCTAAGCCAGCCTTCGTTCCGTTAAACGATAGAAATAAAGCTTAATACTTTTACTGGTTCTAGAATAGTAATTATTGGAAGTGTAACAGGTCATCTGGTACTGTCTTGTGTCCTCGCCACTGTTTATTTCATCAGTATTCGATTGTATTGTTTGTCACATAGAATGTCCAGTTATGACTATTAATTATGTGTACACTGCCAGTGTTAATCTGTTCAGTTCAATTTTAGTCCTCTGTAGAGTTGGTGTCATTTGTTTTCTAATTTGTAAGTCCTTCATGAAAATAAAAAAAAATTGTAGTCAAGATCTGAAGCAAAATCATTATATGTGCCTTCCCTCTCATATGTGAGTCTCATGCCTGCAGACTAAAGACATTGATTTCACACATCAAAGACAATTTCTCAGGCCTGATTATAAAATCCGGAGGAATTAGTCTTTAACAAATGATTAACAATGAAAACTCAACTCAATTTCAATCCCCAAAAATATTCCAAAATGTTGACTATTCCAAAAAGTTGTTCCTCAATGTTGACTTTGTATTTTTTTATTGTATCACAAAATGTTAAAATTGTTGCCTTTTAATTAGCTTTGGAAATGTTAAAAGGTCATTGGAAGGTTTTAGGACATGTTCGACAACATTGAGCAGTCTATGGAAAATCTTAGGAAACCTTTAGAAGTTGCCTGGACATTTTCGGAAATACCAGTCATGACAAGGTGTTAATCTCAAGCATTTGATGTAGAAAAAGTTGGCAGGTGTACAAAATTATGGAATGAGACATTGCTCACGATAACACATGCCAGAAATAGCACCGTTCAATGTGTTTTAGGGTGTTCATTCAGCATTAAAGAGATCGGAGAATTCTTGGTTTACAGTGCAGAATTCTTTAACTAACGTTTGGTAGCTAATACCCCGCTAGCAGAGGCTACATTTTCACTGTGTGAGCTGTCATGTTCGCTGTGTGAGCTGTCATGCGGAAAGTAGCCTTTGCTGACAACCGTTCAAATCCGTCCAGAAATCTGGACTAATAAAAACGGGTTTTTTCCTGTTCTTGACCAGTTTAAAGCATTGCGTGAGTCTTGCGTAGCAGATCAGAGTTTTATTCCCGCAAAACTCGCTCCATTTGATGACAGACCTGACAATTAATTTTGCTTGCGAATCGCATGACGAATTTCGCGCATGCATGATAGAAAATTGAACGGTTGTCGCCAGAGGGTACTTTTCGCACACCAGCTCACACAGCGAAAATGTCCTGTAACGTTGCATCTTTCTTCTTTGTTAAAAAGTTTATTTCAAATAGTAAATACACAGCTACAAAATAAATTGAAAATGAAATGAAAGAAAAACAGCTAATAATAATACAATACATATCTGTCTGAATTCATAAAACGTAGCCTCTAGGTTTTTGCCTGGTGCCGGGCACAGTCTGGCTCCAGGCCAGTGCAGTCTCCAAAAATGTAAGGGCTTCGGCCTCTTGGTCAGCACAGGTGGTATTTAGCGGCATCTATTGTAGAGAACGTTTCGACACAGGCTGAAGAGCAGCCGCTCTGCAAAACTTATACCCGGCGGAGTGAATTGTTCCGGACAAATCATTTTTGACGTATCAACAAGGTTTCAGACGAGGTAAAGTCACGCGATAAAAAACAAGAAATTCAGCAGCAATCGCTCATGGTTTTAACTTTCTTTTATCGTAAATATGAATGTATTACATAGAATTTTTAATATTATCTTAAAAATCAGATTTGACTTATTATCTAGGATTCATTTGTAATTTTCAAGTATTGTAAAGTTTTTGTAAATAATTGCGTAATTCAGCCTTTGGCTGCGATGCAGTTCTACTAAACAAACTATCTATCTATCTAACTATCTATCTAAATCTTTTTTATTACAGTTCTTGCAATCGCCTGCAACGTGTTCTTTTAGAGAACAAAGTAATTTTACAAATCTGGTAATCCAGGGGTAATCTGTTCGTTATGTTTCTATTTTGACGAGCTGTCAATTTACAAATGAACCCAACCGTGAAATATCAAGGGGCGTTTTCCAGAATCGTGGGGTTTGAGGGCAAGCGTTTCCTCTTCTCCCCTCCCCCTTCAACCTTCTTTTTTTGCTTCTGCTCTAACTTTCGCGTAATAACTCGATTGGAAACGCTTGCTACGCAGGCTATCATTTCTATGGTGGATAAGATTACAGACCATGGAAAATTGTCGTCGATTTGTTTTTACAATAACATTGACAGTTTTGACATCCATTTCTATTGAAGTTTCTTGGAATAACAAATTGTGCCACCATCATGTCACACATGTCATGGTCTGTACTCTTATCAAACATAGCTCTCAAACAATCAGGGTGCCAGAAATCGTTCATTTATTGTAACAATTTATATTTCCCACCTTACAAACTGTTGCAAGTTTTATCTTACATGTATTTACCTGTGCAGGCCTTTCTCTGGAGTTGAATCTCCCTCATCTTCCCCACTGCTACCATCATTGTCTGAATTAGTGATGCAGAATTTGGTTGAGCCCTCCTTTTTTTGGCACTCTAAAGCCAACTTGTCTGGGTGTGCAGTAAGATAAATATAGCCATCTTTGTCCTCTTTAACACTTACAAAAACCACTCCTGTTTGTAGTAGCAGCAACATTTTGTTGTCACAAAGACATAATTGAAATTTTTCATAAGCCTATTTATTATAATTTAAGCAATAGATATTTTCCACCTAAGATTCCAGGGGGCATATACATGAAGTTGAGGCACAAATGGACAATATCATACAAAACACTGTATTTTGTCCACCCGATAACTTTGACACCACAATGCAGTAAAGGATCTAACCCAGAACATTGTTTGCAAAAAACAATAAGTAACTCCGTGGTCAGACTATCCTTTAGGAAACACAGAGAATTTATTTTACTTTGTTCCAATATAATAAAAACAGTCTCCAATACATTTAAATTTTTAAGAAGAATTTAATTTTTAAATTTTGTGGAAAACAATGACCACAAAAATGTTATTTGCATCATGCAAAAGTGGTAGAGGAAGCCAATAATTTATCATTCATTAATACAAAAAGAAAGATGAAGATATATAGCAGATAAAAAGGGTCAAACAAACACATTCCTCGGATTTAGCAATACACAGATGATCTTTCTTGGTAGACTGCAGTGGAAGAGGGAAAACAAACCAAAGATTGCATGACAATAGCCTTTATGCAAATAATTTTTTAAAATTGTAGGCAATCAGCTGAACCAAATAAACTGATTCATGATAAATTGCACTTGATTCACAAGTCAAGCATGTCATGTACGGCAACATTCTGCGATGGGTACACTTTAATAAAAAGAATAACGAGAGTAAAAGAATAAAGTGCGCAATGTGTACAAGAAGATTTTTTACAGGGATCTTTTAGCATTATTGTCAAGTGGAAAAAAGATAGGCCTAATCACAAGTTCGCTCGCTTATAACGGTCAATTCTTTCTTTGACTTAAGAAACAACAACAACCGATTTTGGTCATTTTCACCTCGAACATGTGTAAACACGATCTCTATGTAAGGCGTTGTTGACGATTTTGATTTGAATCTGGCTTTGGGTTGTATCAAGTTTACATACCCAGTTGGGGGCGACAGTCTCGACGAAGATTTCTCACCCACAGAATTTGTATGTCCAATAACAAAAAGCAAAATGCAGGTTCTCAGGGGCTTAACAATTTTAGAAGCACTAACATATAAATCTATTGTAAAATACATTGGTTTTGCAGAATGAATCGTTGTATTCTAGAAAGGATTCTCCTGCGTTAACAAGTATCCCTAGATCTGGATCATAACTATCGAGGGAATTACGACACGTTGGGATGAAACTCATAACTCGACAGCCATTTTTATTTCAACCAAAAAGCTAATTAGGCACGAAAGCAAGAAATTTTTACATTTCTGGTACTTTTGAGCCTTCTGTCCTGACATACAACTTAGACAGTTTTATTTTCCGGGCGAGAAAGATAGTCGATTAGCTGAGAATAGCCGGTTTTTCGTCGAAACGAAATTTGCAAGAAGAAGAAAGCGTTATTTTATTCTATACGTACCTCGGTATTCAGGAGTAAATGGTCGCATTTCTGGAGGCTGTTCCTCGTAAAATCGATGTTCCCTTTGCTTTAAGGGCTTGCAAACAGATACATCGTCAAATCTCATCATGGAGCAATGGCCACCGACTTGGTGGACAAACGGTTCTAGAGGAACGAAATCTCGTTTCGCTACTCGGTCGGGCATAACCGCCATGAAATAGTTCGTTTTCAGGAACAAAATTTGTAATCGATCAATAGTGTCACTTATACAATAGTGTTACTTCTTTATAAAGAGGGAAATGTTAAAGGTTTACTACAAGACCAGAGGAAATGCTAAGTGTCTCAATTTTCTTCACTGCTGTCACGAGACTTCACAACAATAAACCCGAGCGTTTATGCAACGACGCTGGCAACAATTTTTTTCCTCCCTTTTTACCATGACGTCACCGAATAAAGATCACGTGAATAAAACACGCTTAATTGATTGGATGACGCTGAGAAGCGAAAACACTGAAGACGTGCCATGACTTGGCACCTTGCCTCATGAAAATAAAGAAGTGAACGCGCCTTGTGAACAAGGAAATATTTATTGCATGCTGATCGAAAATTGGAATCAAACAGCTGAAAGCTAAGGAGTAGCCTGATGGGATCGGACGTCACAAGCCCTTAAAACTGAATGCGTGGAGCAAGAGACGTGTCAATGGCTGAAACAAGACGTTCAGATCTTCAGGTTTATTACATAAAGACTTTGACATTTTCTCCATTTCTCTTCCAAAATTCACCCTATTAAGTTCAAGGTCAGGCACGCAATAATCGGTCACGTGATCAACTTTCTGTAAACACGATCGATATGCTGTCAAACCTCCCCGTAAGCGAACCGCAGGGGGGAACAGGGGGTCTGTTCCGAGAAGAGGTCCAGGTACATCTGGGGTGCTTACCATTTGACAAAAAAATCCGATTGGGGGTGTCGAAAGCATAATGGTAAGCGATTTACCAGTTTACCGTAGAAATGCCACATCCGTCACAGTTTGAATCCAAAAAAAGGGCGAATTTGTGTCGCGTGAGTTTGGAACCGAGAAGGAACTGAGAAATTGGTTAATGGTAAGCAACATTGCGTTTGGTTCGTACCAACCGGAATGAACGGACTACCTAAAAACGTACTCCTCAATTTTCGGTTGGAATTTCCGAAAAGTGACCTTACCATTTACCTTCCATCCGGAATTTTCGAAATTTTCTGTCAAATAGTAAGCACCCCTGCTTTATGGAAGATAATTTATTGGATGTAATGTCTAAGTTAGGATATGTGTAGTTCCATGTTGTCACTAAAGTATTTCATATGAGTATAAACACAGTGAACACAGCGAAAAATAGAGATCAGAGAATGCAAGAGGTTAAAAACAATGGAAAATAATTAACCGTCAGACCCAAAAAGTGGTCGCGGTCGCTTACAGGAGGTGGTCGTTTACTAGAGTTCTAACTGTAAGGCTGTGACTGTTACAGTTTTGGTGTTTTGGATTGGTGGCCGCTTATGGGAGGAGGTCACTTACGAGTGGTGGTAGCACATGGAGGTTCGACTGTATTGAAATTCTAACATGACTCCAAGGCTTTCTGGTCATTTTTCTATATTTGGTCTGGTTTTCTTTGTGCTCAAGTCAGTCTTTCGGGAATTGCGAGTCAATGATTCGCAATATTGACCGTAAAGCCTCGGAGATGTTAGAATTTTATTATATCGAACGTGGGCTATTCAATTAACCCGCGTTCGATATACAGTGAAACCTCTCCTTTGAGACACATCAAGGACACCACCATTCAGGGGACATAAGATTTGGTCCGGGGGGGGGGGGTACTACCTTATAAGAGGCTAATGAGGATGTGACTCTGGATGGGGCTGCATTTTCACGACTGGATTGACTAAAATTAGGTCGCATTTTCAATAGAGTGACTAGAATGGGGTCGCACATTTTCGGATTTTCTGGGGTAAGACAGTTCTTCATATTTACGGTTAGCAAACGTACCAGAATGTTTGTACTGCCGATGAAAAGTTTAGTGTTCTTCATTCAATCTAAAAAATGGGTTAATTCATAGAAAATAGAAGGTAACTAAGTTGGGATCGCGAAAATTACACATTTGCCGAAAAGTGACTAAGATGGGGTCTATAATTGACCATAGTATAGACTATAATGGAGTAGGGGCTCTGAGAGGCAAGCGGCACATACCCAGCAAAAATTTACCCAAGTGACCCTCCCCCCCAGGGATTTGGTCCCGGATAAATTCACATAATCTTTTTATCAATGTTACCTCTAAGGAAGGTACATCTCTATTCAGGGGAAAGGGACACTTTTTCAGGGTCCCGAAAACTTAGCCTGCGAAAACATGAAAAGAGCGAGGACAAATGGATGTTTTCGCAGGCTACCGAAAACTGGGTTTAACCTCTAGTCAAGGGAGTAGCAATCAAAAGTATGTCAAAAGTGACTGACCACAAAAATCGTCGATAAGTATAAGTGTTCGCTAGTCACAATGGGAAGATCTTTCAAAACGTGAATTAACTCACTTCAATCAATGTACTAACATCGCAGAGGTAAGTTAATCGTGACTTTTTATACATTATCTAGCTACTACAATGCCGCTGCAGCAGATTTCGTAGACTGCAAGAGCAAGAGACCTTTTTCTGCTTTTTCGGCGCTAATAATATTATTTTATTTTTTGGTTAAACATTAACAAGAGAGAATGATCTAAGAAGATGGGAGAGGGAGAAATGGCCCGAAAAAGTAGGTAGGGGGGAGAAATTGGGCCGAAAATGTAGGGGAGGTGGGAGAAAATGAAATGTTGGGAGTGGGGAGATATTGATGAGAAGGTAATGATTAACCTTTTACCATTTTTTTTTCAACCCGCATCACACACGGCGGCTAAAGACAGCAGAGGTTGGCAAAAAGGAAACCTGGGTCTTAAACAGACTCACTACTGAACTGAGTCCTGGAGTCCGGGTGACTAGTCAAAACTCAGTCGTTGAGTTCCCCGACCTCCCAGAGGATCGAGTGATGCTACTTTTTAGGTAGACTAAGAGTAGTCCCCATTTTTCCTCAGGGATAGTAGAGCGAGCGAAACGCGAGCGCGCGTGAAAATCACCCCGCCGCGTGTCACCTTTCAGTCGCGTGAAGTGATTTTCAGGCGCGCTCGCGTTTCGCTCGCTCTACAATCCCTGAGGAAAAATGGGGGACCACTTGTAGTCTACTTTTTAGACATCAGGAAGACGGACTCAGAGAAGAGATTATAAGAGCAGGCTAGGGTCCTAACCAGTGTCAGGAACACATGGGCTCCTCAAAGTCAGCGTGACTAGATTTTACCGTAAAATCTTGCAACTTGCCTTTTCCTTGACTAGGGAAAGGCAAGTTGCAAGTTTGGGCCTGTTGTTTATAAGCGATCTGCGTATCTCACCACTCGATAGCCTGTTCCAGGCTCAGAGATAGTCGCGCCCGCTCAGCCTAGTCCCTAGGCGTTCTCTCTTGATCCGTTGTCCACGCGAAGTCTAAATAAAACGGGAGGAAACTGGGGAGAGATGGGGCTCCTTTTTCCTTTTTTTCCCGCCCGCCAACTTTTCGCGAGCTTGTTACTTTCGCGTCTTCCCAACTATCTGAGAGCCTGGAACAGGCTAACCACTCGAAGGCTGAGCGTTGGAAAAAGATCTCACGCCACCACGCCACATCTCTGATTCACGATACGAACACGTGTTTTACGTTTTGGTCTCGGTGTATCAGTAACTAGAGACGAAAAATCGATGGGTGCTTAAAGAGGGGAGGGGTTTAAAGAAGAAGGGACTCAACCAGAAGAAAGAAAGGGAAAGAGGATTATAAAAAATTGGAAAATACTGTGCGACGCAAAAGTCACGTTGATGATTTTTACCCAGTTATTTTTCAAAATATGCGTCGAAAGGGCACGAAAAATGGATGTATATCTAATCGGCTCCTGATCTACGGTTCTTTAATTTTTCTTGTTTTGTAAAGTATATGGAAAATAAGGCAAGGGCCATTGCCGCCTCCTACGCCCATGTTTCAATATTATGTTCAGATTCATCAGTCCAGACAACTTTCTTCTTATTTTTTTAGCCGGCTTGTGTAAGAAACTTGTAAACCGCCTTGTAAACTGTACGGTCTCTGTCCTTCCTCCTTCACGGCCCCTGAATGGGCCTTGCCTGCAAGGAAGGTAAAAATGGAACAATGGAATGCATTTCCATGTTTTCAAGTGCCTCTAGCAGATGAGGCCCAACTTAATGTGTCGCCTTTCTGTACTGTCGGTTTGAGACTGTTTAAATCCCTCTGTTATCCCAAAAGATCACCATCAACTGTTGTCATTTGCCTCACTGAAATGTGCTGATGGAGTACAGCTGTACGCCCTACAACGGCGATATCAGGAGCCCTGACGACACCCATCCCACCCCCACTTTAGCGCTCGATCACCACGGTCTTAAATCTCGGAAGTCTAGTTTTTAGGGCGGTCAAAACTCCCGTTTTCATTCCTACTTTTTCTGCGTTCGCAGGCTAGCCAGTCCCGGCTACAGCCGTTCCTTGGGTTGTCCCTTTGTGGGGAGGAGAGTTTCGCGACGGCTCTTAAAACGACTGTGAGGTTCTACTTCACTGAGATCTAGAATTTATTAAGATTTCGTGAGAAACTGATCACATAAAAAAAATGTCGTTCCATTTACTCTTATTTAGTTCCCCTGGTCTTTGACCGGTGTCCAATCTGGACCGGTCCCAAAAAGTGAACCGGATGTTGTTCATAAAACAGTTCCGGTCTCGTCAAATATCCCACAATACACCGGTGTTACTATATAAATCACCAATCGCCGCTTACTATTCATGTAGTCTTGTCATGGCGACAAGTCTGCATGTTCGTTTTCGGTGGTGAGTAAAACTTCTTTCGAATTGTCTTGTACCCAAGAGAATGATAAAAAACCGCGGAAATAGTATCAGAACGAAAGATGAGGATGGATACACGAGGAGAGCAGGATGTGTCTGCTTCAGAACTGATCAGGAAAAAGAGGTTCGACACATTTGGTTACTTCACATGGCAGAACACATGTCTCGACCGGCCGTCAGGCCAGACACTGTAATGCTGATGTTTGTTCATTGTAGGTCCTACTAATTTCAAGCTCTCGGCATCCTGGTCGGTGGGTTGTTCCATCTGGAGGAGTTGAACCTGGCGAAGAACCAAAAGAGGCGGCAGTTCGCGAAGTTGTGGAAGAAGTTAGTGACAGACTTTTTCGTTAAGCTGAGCTGCGTTAATAAGACAAAGCCTTATCACACAGGACTGTGTTTGCGTTTGTTTTTTTTTCTTTTAATTCGTTCAGGTTTCGGCGTTATTTGTTAACGTTTAGTCTGTTGTTCGATTGTGGTATTTCTTATCTCTAGGCTGGTGTTCGAGGCAAGCTTGGACGTTTTCTGGGCGAGTTTCAGGTGTGAATATTCCCTTTGTGGTAAAACAGTCGTAACCAATGCTTTTGTTTGCCTGGCCCTTTAGAGAATTGTTGTGTTTAGACTAACCTACCTTTCGCCTTTTAGAATGATGCTAACCAAAGTCGGACCGCTGTATATGTGCTTATTGTGACAGAAGAACTAGAAAGATGGCAGGAAGGTTGGTTCTGTTTATTAAAATTCCCGCTGTTTATAGCGCAAAAGCATTTACGACTCAAGTTGAAAGTCGTCGAACCAGTAAAGTTCAATACAATATTCTAGTGTTTTTAAAGCAACATAAGAAATATAAGCCTTATATTACCTGTTATCTTTTTCTTTCTTCGGAATATTCTTATCCACTCATTTTGAAGCTTTTCTTAAGAATTCAAACGCAAACGGGAACTTGCCAAGCGGTACGCAACACTGAGATACATCGTTTCTTGCTTTGCTCACGTGTATATATAGTGCTCGCTCTTTTGAGATCTAGCTTTCAGTACAAAGTACAACACATCTATATGTATATATTATAGCCAGTTTGTAGCAGCGAAATGTTATATGCGACTTTGTAGAATACGCTATGTCCATCGACACAAGGTACGAGCTGTGCTGTTTTCGAGCATTTATAGCTAAAATGGGGACGAATATTTAACTATTTACAATGACAAAACTACTCTCGTCGTAAAATACACTGTATCTTTAGCGTTTCTGTGTATTCCTTCAGCGCGTAGAGAACGAATATTGATTCACTGCCAGATTGACCTGAGGTCATCCTTAAGAGAAAACTGTATAATGTTTAGAGTAATCAAGGAAGACATAATGCATTATTGATGAGCTAAACCAGCCTTCGTTCCGTTAAACGATAGAAATAAAGCTTAATACTTTTACCGGTTCTAGAATAGTAATTATTGGAAGTGTAACAGGTCATCTGGTACTGTCTTGTGTCCTCGCCACTGTTTATTTTATCAGTATTCGATTGTATTGTTTTTCATATAGAATGTCCAGTTATGACTATTAATTATGTGTACACTGCCAGTGTTAATCTGTTCAGTTCAATTTTAGTCCTCTGTAGATTTGGTGTCATTTGTTTTCTAATTTGTAAGTCCTTCATGAAAATAAAAAAAAATTGTAGTCAAGATCTGAAGCAAAATCATTATATGTGCCTTCCCTCTCATATGTGAGTCTCATGCCTACAGACTAATGCACCTATCAATGTAAACCCCGTGGGGGGGGAGTGCGGGCAAGGGGTGGGGATTTGACAAATTTTAAAATTTTTTGATCAAATTCCCCAGGGTGGGAAACGAAAGGTCAACCAAAAGTGTCAAAAAAGCCCCCACCCCAGGGGAAAAAATCTAAACAAACAATGCTATAATACTATATAAACCGAATAAAAGAACATTTCAAACACGTTTTTACTACTTTTATTTACGGTTAACGGAAGCTCCATTAACTTACTCGCTGTAATTAAGTATTTTCTCTCTCCACTAGCATCTCTTATCTTGAACAACAAAATAACTCCAGGAAGATTGACCGTGCTATATAATATTCATAAAACGTAAAATGCTTTATAACATCTGCTCAACATGTCAGAACAGGTCGGATCAGTGACCCATAAAAAATCCTCTGACTTTCATCGTGGAATTCGATTTCAATCGAGTTTTACAATCAGATGGGAACTTGAAGATAAAAACTTCCTCAAAATAGACATTATCTGTTTAGATGACAGTTTAAAGTATCGGATTATGGCGATTAAAACAAATGAAAACTTCATACCTTTCTCCAACAACGTGACTTTCAGGAAGCCTCGAGGGACGGACTTGGTAACTACTTCTGAATTGATACCAGGCTTCTGTCGGTCAAAGTCAAATGTCCCGACCCCGGGGTCGCTTCACACGATCAAAAGCCCAACAGCGGGGATAGTCCCAGGCATCAAATCCCCTCCCCTTGCCCGCACTCCCCCCCCCCCACGGGATTTACATTGATAGGTGCATAAAGACATTGATTTCACACATCAAAGACAATTTCTCAGGCCTGATTATAAAATCCGGAGGAATTAGTCTTTAACAAATGATTAACAATGAAAACTTAACTCAATTTCAATCCCCAAAAATATTCCAAAATGTTGACTATTCCAAAATGTTGTTCCTCAATGTTGACTTTGTATTTTTTTATTGTATCACAAAATGTTAAAATTGTTGCCTTTTAATTAGCTTTGGAAATGTTAAAAGGTCTTCGGAAGGTTTTAGGACATTTTCAATACGGTGGGCAGTCTATGGAAAATCTTAGGAAACCTTTAGAAGTTGCCTGGACATTTTTGGAAATACCAGTCATGACAAGGCAATAACCTCAAGCGTTTGATGTAGAAAAAGTTGGCAGGTGTACAAAATTATGGAATGAGACATTGCTCACGATAACACCTGCCAGATATAGCACCGTTCAAGTATGTGTTTCAGGGTGTTAATTTAGCATTGAAGAGATCGGAAAATTGTTGGTTTACGATGCAGAATTCTTTAACTAACGTTTGGTAGCTAATACCCTGCGAGCAGAGGCTACATTTTCGCTGTGTGAGCTGTCATGCGAAAAGTAGCCTCTGCTGACAACCATTCAAATCCGTCCAGAAATCTGGACAAATAGAAACGGGTTTTTTCCTGTTCTTGACCGGTTTAAAGCATTGCGTGAGTCTTGCGTAGCAGATCAGAGTGGTTGCAATTTTTTGTTCCCGCAAAACTTGCTCCATTTGATGACAGACCTGACAATTAATTTTGCTTGCAAATCGCGTGACGAATTTTGCGCATGCATGATAGAAAATTGAACGGTTTTCACCAGAGGCTACTTTTCGCACACCAGCTCACACAGCGAAAATGTAGCCTCTGCTTGCAGGTTAGGTAGCTAATGACTATTTTTTATTTAGACGTGGAGCCACTTTCAAAATATTCTCCTGTAACGTTACACCTTTCTCCTTTGTTAAAAAGTTTATTTCAAATAGCAAATACACAGCTACAAAATAAATTGAAAATGAAATGAAAGAAAAACAGCTAATAATAATACAATACATATCTGTCTGAATTCATAAAACATGGCCACTAGGTTTTTGCGTGGTGCCGGGCACAGTCTGGCACCAGGCCAGTGCAATCTCGAAAAATGTAGGGGCTTCGGCATCTTGGTCAGCTCAGGTGGATAGCCCAGGGACTGCCCTAACAGTGGGTGGGTGGATCAGGCATGGGGGGCAAAACTAGTGGGGTAGGGAGGGGGCTATTTTGACACAACCCCTTCAGTGAGGAGAAATTTTTACTAGAGGCTTTGACTGGCAAGTACCTTGTGTTTACTTTGCCCTAGCCAGCTGTATCAGGCTTTAATCGCTGACATTAATTGTCAAGATAACTGCAGAACTCAGGGGGAGGCACAGACAGTTACCCAGTGTTCTGGGTGGGGAGTGTGAAATTCTTGGTACCAAGGACATACTTAGCTGAGGACCTTTAGACACTCACTGAAGCCATGTTAACATAAATTCAGTCAGATTTACAATGACACTATTTTATATTTATTTTCACAATTGGCTGAGAAATAAAAGTAACGTAAAAGCAAATAAAAGAAAAAAAGGAAAGAGACTAAAAAAAGAAGATGCTAACCTAAAAAGTGAAACAGTACTAGCTTAATAGAGTATGTATCAAGGGAGTTACACTAGCATTCACTAATTAAGAAGTTTGGCCCATGTTGTTTCGAATTGCCCTGGGCATTAAGATCTAAAAGCTATGAGTCAGAGAATATTTTATTATATTTAAAAGGCGCAGTAGAAAACTGTCAAAGTCCAGAATGCTGCCGCGTAAACTTGTTGCAAAAACATGATATCTGGGGACAATCAAACAGTAGTTAAGAACTTCCCAGTTATTTGACTTTTTGTGCCAACCGTAAAAAGTAGTACTTTCAGCAAATTCAGTTTTTGATTAAATTTTTCTTGCCACCAGTTACAAAAACAGTTATCATTATTCCTACAGTATTGTAGTACTTTTATTTTTCATATGATGGTGATGGTAATGATATTGATCTAGTATCCTTTTGCTTTATCAAGTAAGACTTGATACCAAAATTTTTGCTCATAAAGCCAGGTGTTCTTGTATTTCAAGAAGAAAAAGAACCCAGATGTAGCACCGCAGTGACAATCATGGCAAATGTCTAACAAAATTATTAATGTTTTGGCTTTACTATTTTTTTCTCAGATGTGGGCCGCATTAGGTCATGGTTTTCAGTAGATGAAGCAAAAATTATGTTATCGGAAAAGCCATATCAGCGAGAGTATCTGTTAAAAGCTTGCAGTGGAAGGTGACATCACAGGCTGGTCTTCTTTAATTGACCTGGTTGAATTTGGCCGAAGATTTCCTTCTATATAATAATTATTATAACAGTAATCCAATAATTTAATTAGTAAGAACATAATATTTTTTTCTTGTTACATGTTAGAGGCAAAGAGTTGTATATTTATATATTTCTTAGCTGGGGTAGGGAAAGAGATCATCCTTGATCTGTTTAACAATTATTTCTCGAGCCCGAATGGGCTATTGACTCAGACACCATGAGGGCGAGAGGAATAATTGTTTTAGTAAAATCCAACTAGTTGGTAAAAAATATTGAGACAAAACAACTTAAGGTAGCAAAACGTGATTCAGCTGCCATTGTTTTGGTTTTCAAAGCTGGCGCTTATTGCTACTAGTGGGTTATAACATATAGCCTCGTAGTAGCTCAACCAATCAGAATGCAGCATTGATAATAGACCACTAGTTGGATTTTACTAAAACTTAATATACCCATTCCTATACTAGGATATGTGCTTTCAAGTCCTTATTGTAAGTGTTTTATATTTTATTGTCAGTACTGAATATGTTTTCGTATCCGAGTCTTTTTATGCCTTGAGAGGGATTTGATAAATGAGTCCAAGTCAAGGCTAGTCGGCAGTGAAAGGTCAGCTATAAATTAATAACTGTAGACTGTAAATTACCCTTTGTTGACACCTGATGCATACAGTATTTGAAACTCAAAATTATAATTTATAGATCACTAAAATAAAAGTAAATGTACATGTATTTTCGGGAAGTAGATAATGTGACTGCAGTGTGAAAAAACTTTCTCATAGTTATTTGTTCTTCTCATATATTTGATCAAAACAACCCAGAAGCTAACTAAGCTTTCTCTAACACAAACACCTCGTGGGCTTGTGGGTTTATTTTTATTTTAGATACTTGTGGGTGTGTTGAAACAAGGCTGTGCTGTAAGAAAAATTGAAGGGAGCCTGTAGCCTGCGAAAACATCCGTTTCTCCTCGCTCTTCGCCGCTGGGGACGTTTCGCGAGGAGGAACGTCTGCGACTCAGTGACAGAAATTCCATACTGATGACGTAAAATCTGTCCGGAATCCAGTCAGAAGAGCTGATTGGTCGACGGAGTAGTTACATTGTTTTAGCTATTTTTTACGAATGACAGACAAAAGACAAAAGGCCTCAAAGGTCAAATGTAAACACGAAGAATCTCTGACAAAACAGTCTTTATTTCTGGAATATAGTCTTCTCTAGATTTTGCTGGTGCTCGTTGGCCGGATGAACACAACACTTCACTAAAATCGACCAGAAGACACGCAAAATTGGACAAATTTATATTTGGAACCCCATGACTACCGGATTCATTATGTAAACATTGATTTGCGTCATCAGTATGGAATTTCTGTTGCTGAGTCGCAGACGTTCCTCCTCGCGAAACGTCCTCAGTTGCGAAGAGCGAGGAGAAACGGATATTTTCGCAGGCTAGGGAGCCTGTTGCTCTGAACCTGTAAACTCTAGGGTGTCCAGATTATGATTTGTACAAAAAAGCTTAGATTTCCTAGTCGCCAAGGGCAAAGGTTAGGTGCCAGGGGCTACTGGGCTGTGCTATAGCATAGCCTTGTGAAAAATTCCAAAAGTAACCATGAATCTCAAAAATGTTGTCAGTGGTCAAAGAAATTCTTTAAATATTATGGTTATATTTACAAGTATGAGAAAACTGTCAGACCAGGAAGCTGATCTTATTGTAATGTCACTAATGTACTATAAACTTACTGAACATTATTCAAATTAAACTTTTTTAAAGTTTATTTGAAAAGTTCCAAGCGTTTGAAATCTGTAATTTGGTTCCAATTGCTAACATAGCTTTCTTAACATGTAAAAGCATTTTCAACATAAAAGCTCAAATTCTATAACTCTTGCACAATAGTATAATATTATTACTAGTATTATTATTTAATATAGTGTTATTAATGCTAAGATTTTGATTTGAGCATGTACAAATTTCTAAAACATGCATTTGCATGGATGCAAAAAGGGGCAGCCATTTGCCACTGATCACTGCAGATCACAGCAAACAAAGTGACTTTCTCCTAATTTGATGTCACATCATGAAAATTAACTTTGTTACTCTGATCTAGACAGAGTAATGTTGTTCTTTTGCTGCAATGATGTCTTGGTTTCTGAATCCTGAAAATTTTAGCCCTGCCTAGTTTCTCAAGTTTGTCTTGCTCACATTAACCTCCCTCACCTCAAACAATCTTTACTCCTTTATCAAAATGCTATTTTTTTCATGTTTTGTGCTGTAATTGCCAAACTTGCAATTTTGTATTTCACAAAATGGTAACATTGCTTCAAAGCAGCTGTTTATTTCCAGAACCATAAATTGCTTGTCAAGCACAATACCCCATCGAAAATTTCATTATTCTTTTGTAAGCAATGGCAACAAGCAATCTTAACTTTTTGATTCATTTAACATAAGTAGCACTTGCCTGTGTAACTACATATCATAGCAGCATTAAATCCCTTTTATGAAGGAAAACAAAAATGTTTTTGGTATAGACATGGCTGAAGAATACATCTACAGCACAAACCCTACAGCATTGCTTTCAAATAGATATTACATCACGCTTGTGCTTTGCTTTGGGTGATAAGTATTTTATTGCCCTTCCAGGATATAACCAGGCAAATCAAAGCATAAAAATGTCTCTAAGTAATATTTTTTGTTGGTCTGTTAAAAGGTTTTACCTTGTGCATTACATATTAATCTATAAGCTACTTAGCTATACTTTCCTATAAGCTGTTTCTTTAAATGCTGTACAAGGGAGGCAGGTTGTTCCTTAGCAGCGTGCAAAGAAAGTCGTGTCCGATAGCCTGGGGCTCGTGGATTTTGCTATCTGGCTAGTGATTTTTGTTTTTAACTTGCCAGACATGCAAGAGCCGTTTTTTGGGGAAATTCAAATTACAGAAGGATTTTAATTAATCCAGCTAATCAAAAAGGGTTTTGGGGCTAGTTGAAATGACTTGTGGGCTAGTACATGCTAGGTACAGCTTGCCCGAATGGTAGGCAGTAAAACTGACTTTCTTTGCACCCTGCTTAGAAAGGTCTGAAATCCTAAAATGCAAACATTTATTTTTAGTAGCTATTGAGCCTTCTTTTCATTCTGTCTGGGCTTAAATATGATTTTCTAATTATTGCAATAACTTTACACCAGAAATAATGTCCTGCCAACTTGACCTTTAAACTCAAATGTAAATAGTTAAAATTACATCAAGGCACATATTCTCTTCACCTCTCTTCATACATTTTTCATGGCACAAGTGTGGAGAATTTGTGTAAACAACAAGCTGGTTTATGATTGTTACCTGCTACTGTTAAATGAAGAAGCAACATAGAAAGGGAAGTAGTCAAAGTATTGTACACAGACAGGCACCATCACTGCTCAGCCCATAGCCTGGACTCACTGGTGGTGTTTCTGTGTGCATCCTTGCTCTGCTTAAACATATAGCATCTCCTCTGCATACCACCACCCCTGGTTTATTAGCAGTAGAAACCTTGGTGCAGTTTTTCTGATAGATGTTGGAACGTACAGAACATTTTAGTTGTAAATGAATTTTTTGAAAGTTTTTGTGCACAAATTGTCTTGTCTTTATGTTATCGGAAAAGCCATATCAGCGAGAGTATCTGTTAAAAGCTTGCAGTGGAAGGTGACATCACAGGCTGGTCTTCTTTAATTGACCTGGTTGAATTTGGCCGAAGATTTCCTTCTATATAATAATTATTATAACAGTAATCCAATAATTTAATTAGTAAGAACATAATATTTTTTTCTTGTTACATGTTAGAGGCAAAGAGTTGTATATTTATATATTTCTTAGCTGGGGTAGGGAAAGAGATCATCCTTGATCTGTTTAACAATTATTTCTCGAGCCCGAATGGGCTATTGACTCAGACACCATGAGGGCGAGAGGAATAATTGTTTTAGTAAAATCCAACTAGTTGGTAAAAAATATTGAGACAAAACAACTTAAGGTAGCAAAACGTGATTCAGCTGCCATTGTTTTGGTTTTCAAAGCTGGCGCTTATTGCTACTAGTGGGTTATAACATATAGCCTCGTAGTAGCTCAACCAATCAGAATGCAGCATTGATAATAGACCACTAGTTGGATTTTACTAAAACTTAATATACCCATTCCTATACTAGGATATGTGCTTTCAAGTCCTTATTGTAAGTGTTTTATATTTTATTGTCAGTACTGAATATGTTTTCGTATCCGAGTCTTTTTATGCCTTGAGAGGGATTTGATAAATGAGTCCAAGTCAAGGCTAGTCGGCAGTGAAAGGTCAGCTATAAATTAATAACTGTAGACTGTAAATTACCCTTTGTTGACACCTGATGCATACAGTATTTGAAACTCAAAATTATAATTTATAGATCACTAAAATAAAAGTAAATGTACATGTATTTTCGGGAAGTAGATAATGTGACTGCAGTGTGAAAAAACTTTCTCATAGTTATTTGTTCTTCTCATATATTTGATCAAAACAACCCAGAAGCTAACTAAGCTTTCTCTAACACAAACACCTCGTGGGCTTGTGGGTTTATTTTTATTTTAGATACTTGTGGGTGTGTTGAAACAAGGCTGTGCTGTAAGAAAAATTGAAGGGAGCCTGTAGCCTGCGAAAACATCCGTTTCTCCTCGCTCTTCGCCGCTGGGGACGTTTCGCGAGGAGGAACGTCTGCGACTCAGTGACAGAAATTCCATACTGATGACGTAAAATCTGTCCGGAATCCAGTCAGAAGAGCTGATTGGTCGACGGAGTAGTTACATTGTTTTAGCTATTTTTTACGAATGACAGACAAAAGACAAAAGGCCTCAAAGGTCAAATGTAAACACGAAGAATCTCTGACAAAACAGTCTTTATTTCTGGAATATAGTCTTCTCTAGATTTTGCTGGTGCTCGTTGGCCGGATGAACACAACACTTCACTAAAATCGACCAGAAGACACGCAAAATTGGACAAATTTATATTTGGAACCCCATGACTACCGGATTCATTATGTAAACATTGATTTGCGTCATCAGTATGGAATTTCTGTTGCTGAGTCGCAGACGTTCCTCCTCGCGAAACGTCCTCAGTTGCGAAGAGCGAGGAGAAACGGATATTTTCGCAGGCTAGGGAGCCTGTTGCTCTGAACCTGTAAACTCTAGGGTGTCCAGATTATGATTTGTACAAAAAAGCTTAGATTTCCTAGTCGCCAAGGGCAAAGGTTAGGTGCCAGGGGCTACTGGGCTGTGCTATAGCATAGCCTTGTGAAAAATTCCAAAAGTAACCATGAATCTCAAAAATGTTGTCAGTGGTCAAAGAAATTCTTTAAATATTATGGTTATATTTACAAGTATGAGAAAACTGTCAGACCAGGAAGCTGATCTTATTGTAATGTCACTAATGTACTATAAACTTACTGAACATTATTCAAATTAAACTTTTTTAAAGTTTATTTGAAAAGTTCCAAGCGTTTGAAATCTGTAATTTGGTTCCAATTGCTAACATAGCTTTCTTAACATGTAAAAGCATTTTCAACATAAAAGCTCAAATTCTATAACTCTTGCACAATAGTATAATATTATTACTAGTATTATTATTTAATATAGTGTTATTAATGCTAAGATTTTGATTTGAGCATGTACAAATTTCTAAAACATGCATTTGCATGGATGCAAAAAGGGGCAGCCATTTGCCACTGATCACTGCAGATCACAGCAAACAAAGTGACTTTCTCCTAATTTGATGTCACATCATGAAAATTAACTTTGTTACTCTGATCTAGACAGAGTAATGTTGTTCTTTTGCTGCAATGATTTTAGTTGTAAATGAATTTTTTGAAAGTTTTTGTGCACAAATTGTCTTGTCCACTTCCCTAAAGATAAATTTCTTTTGGTGACTGCTTGAGCTCAAGTGAAGGATTAGCATGGACTCCTTAGGGACAGCCATTTGATATTTCTTGGGGGTGGGGCTTGGTGATTTGATTTTGGGAACAATTTTTCCCAAGCTTATTTCTCTGGGCCGAGTTGTTCAAAGCTGGGTTAAGATAACCCAGGGTTAGTTCGAAATTTGAATTCAGATATGAAAGCTTAAAGAGCAAATTCAGTTTAATTCTTTTTGTCAACAATTTGATGATTGGCTACTCTAAAAAGAATAGAGAAAATTGTCCGAGAAAATGCTTTTGATGAAAAGAAAAAGAGACTCGGGTTAAAATTTAACCCTGGGTTAGCGCTAATCGACCTTCGAACAACTGGGCCCTGATTGTCTGTTTTCTTATTTTTTGTTTAGTGTAAGTATAAGTAACTCTAATTCAATATTTTTTCAATCGCATTCTCTTTGTAAGAAAATTTTTCCCAAATCAAATGTTTCTTGGTTAAAGAGAAGAAGTTATTTATTGACTTGAGTCAACCAATGATTGAAATGATCTTATGACTAATGATTTATATGATAATGAATATAATGCAATGTATATAGAAAGAATTGCCTCGCGATAGTCACTTTGTTATTTATCTTGATCAACAAAGTCTATCACACATATATAGCTTGATGATTTCATACTATGTTGTAAATTGGGTTAAGAATAGCAGACGATGAGATTAAATTAGGTGTAAGTTCATATTTATTGTGATGTGTGTTGTTCATCATCTAAACCAGATTGAGATGAAATAAACAGAGTGAGAGAGTCAAGTTTTGGTTTTGTTTTTGCTTTTTTCTCTTCTAAATAATTATATCTTTTGGAACGGTTGGTCCACAAGTCAGTATCCGGATTTAACTTTTAAGCCTTGCAAGGTCTTTCCATTTATAAACCTAACCTTTCTCAATTATGGATATCAACCAGTTTCTTACATATGAAAATAAGAGACTGCTCGCACTCTAGTGAAGAATCCCTTACCCTCTATCAATCAGTCAATCAACAGGGACTGATCTAGGGGAAGGGGGCTGGGGGTGCCCAAACCACCCCACCCCCAAACCAATTTCTACATATTAAAATAAGACACTGCTGGTAGTCTAGTGAAGAGTCCCTTGCCCTCTAACAATCAATCAATCAACAGGGGCTGATCTAGGGGAAGGGGGCTTAAGATGACCTCTGGCTTTCTAATACAGTAATACATAATCTGCTGTTTGTTTGATATGTATTCTCGGCAGTTCACATTCCGTTATTTCCTAGTCAATGTTTACGTCACCAATCAGTTATGCCATTCCTTAGTAGTGCATCCCCTCTTAAGAAAAATCCAATTGTCTCCATGCGCTCGCGATTCTCCCAACCTCGCAGTTTGTGCGCATGGGTTAAGCCATTTTTTATGACGAAAAGCGAAGAGAAAAGACGGAAAGAGTGGATGACAGAGTGGCGGAGACCGTGATTAGAAGCGACGAGCCTCTCCCTGACGTATTTGTTCTTTTTTTGTTTTGTTTTGTTTTTTTTTTCATTCACACTTTCTAACATTCCCAAGTGAGCTCGTAACTAAGATAGTAGAATCTTCGGGGCATATTTAAATAAAGCTATATCATCGTGCACAGCTATTTCTAAGGGCCTGATTACATGGAGGTGGGGGACCCCAGGGTAGGTGAGGTAATCGGCTTAGGTGGGGTAAAAGAATAACCCTCCTTTACATGCAATCTTAAAACCCCGTCATCCCCGGGTGCACTTTCTCAAGATTATTGAATGGTCGCTAAGCACGTAACAAGAAAAATGCTGGCAAACCACGTGTTTTGAACATTAGTGCTCTTCTACACTCACTTGCTGCTCTTACTGCAACCTTCAGTGCTGTAGCTTTCTAAAAATGATGGAAAGCCCCCGCCAAAGTGAATTTTACGCGAAGTTGATGTATCACGAATCCTACTCTGACATAGGCCGGTTACCCCGCCTTGAAACGTTTACATGCCAAAATTAGACCCCGGCTGGGAGGGTACCCGGTCCGGCAGACCGGGCTACCGGCCTTGGCGGGTCAGCCCACCTATGACGTAAACGCGATCAAATTATTATGACAGATTATGTGGACCGGCGGGTTACCCCACCTAAGCCGGTTACCTCACCTACCTGGGGTCCCCCACCTCCATATAAACAGGCCCTAACTCAATGCTGTACCCAATTCAAACCATTTGGAAATAAAACGTTTTGTTTCAGGAATTTCCATATCATTTAAATGCCATATTATAATGCAAATACAATACACAAACAATCTTAACCCCGGGAGATTTGCATTGGGTACAACATTGAGTTGGCTTAATAGGTCTATTTGTAGTGTTGTGACTTGACCTTATATTTAGCAGATTTGTTCCAGTCTATCTCGCTGTTATTCCGCATCGTTTTTACACGAAAAATACAACAGTTTGAGTAGAGAAATGTGATAAATGTGAATCACTTTTCAATGTTTAGCGATCCCATAATACATTGCGTAGCCTGAGAACAATCTTAAAACTAAAAACGAAGGAGGACTGGGGAAATTCATGCAAACACATTTGTCGCCAAAAAGAATCGATCCTGACTGATTATCATTCCTTTCAAGATTTATTTGGAGCGTTTTCCCATTTTAAAGCTATTCATTTTTAGTTTTCTCTCTCTCTATAACAGTCGCAAAAGTTTATCAATGACTACTTTAATGCTGCTCATCCGGGAAATCATGGACCAGACCATGTCGACCATAATGGAGGTATAAAGCTGAAGCAAACTATTAGAAGCACGTGTGGCGCGGCATCAACAAGAATTGTGCGAGAAATTTACTCCTAACAGGTGTAGCATTGTTCAGGGGCACCCAACGTCAATTTTCGGAAAATATCTGTTCGGAAGACGATTTGAGATCTAGAATTTTCGGAACATTTGTCGTAAAATTTCTTGCTTGCCTTTTCGAACATCTAAAAAATGGTATAATTGCCAATTTTTAACGGATTTTTACCCTAAAAAAGTCACCTAGAATTTTCGGGAGCCTTTTTTCTGGCTGAAATTTTCGAAAAGGTAAGTTTTGATCCCTATCATTTTCGGATCACAAGACTTTCAGCTAGGAAATCCGAAAAGATGAAACATTTTTAGGGGATAAAAATATGCCTATTTCTACCGTTTAAATACTAAAATACGTTTAACAATATATTCTCATGGGGTGACCCTAATTGTTTTCAATGACAAACCAATTCCCATCATGGCTCTTGGACAAACTGATTACAGATATTCAAAACAACTGAAAATATATAAATAAACGTTGACTACAATTTTATTGTTTGTTCTTTACCCTTGCTCATGATCGAAATGAAGGAAACACTCACAATCATACACACGCCGCAATTCTTCCAACCGATGCTTTTAAACTCCAAATTTCTGCACAAAAAGGTGCGCTTCAAGTGGTCCTTTTTCTTGAGTGACAAGGAAAAAAATAAAAGCGCGCGATAATAGAGCTTATCTTTCATTTCTAACATACAAATGTTTTGCTAATTAAATTATTCGTTTAGCATTTGAACCAAACATCTTATTTGAATTTCGTGTGAATCATTCAGCGCTTTGGAAGTTTATTTATGGGAGGGGGGGGAACCTCTCCCGTGTGTTTGTAAACATTCCAGTACCAGCTCAAAGAAGAACGTTTTAAAAGCTTTTTTGATATCACGTTCTATCGTAAACAAGCCTGTAAAAAGATGTATCAAAGCCTGCCAAAAGATGTATTAAAGGAAACCAAAAACGTTATTTTGTACGAATATGGATCCGTGTGCGCACTTGCCAAAATGGTCACGCTACGCCCCTTGATAACTCCTTTAATGTTGTTGTTCAAGTGAAGGGATTTAGGCTCTAGCAATAAATGGTAGCCGCGTCGAGTGTTGATAAGAACTGTTTAATTAAGTGACAAGACCGGTTTCAGGGATCTAAGATGGTTTCCTCCTTCAGTTGCTTTAAAAGTTAGCGCGTGTGTGGTTGTGAGCAGAAGAAAGTGACTTTGTGGCTGAATATGTCCCTTTATATAGGTAAAAAAGGGACGCGCTGTTAGAGAAAGTAACAAATTTCAAGTTTTTAGGATTTCTATCCCGTTACTGAAGTTAAGCTTGAATTTGCGTGATCTTTTGTTAGCGGTATAAGCAATAGACCCTAAATGAACGCATGCCGTAAATTTGCCTTAGGATGATTGTTAAAACTGGATGGCTTTTACTAAGCAAGCCCTTCGAAAATGCATCTAAAAAGTCAACAATAAAGGCGAGTCTAATTTTGATTTTAAGAGACTCTGCAGTTATTGGAGTGAAGTTCATACGGTGGTAGTGTAGTTTTTACTGTTTTTAAGTCAAAGTGTAATTGTCACGCGACCTTAACCGTGTATAACTACTTTAAAAGTGTTGTTGTTCACTTTGAAGGGATTTAGGCTCAGGTATCAATAAATGGTAGCCCTTTTAGTATTTTAGTATTCGATGCATCGAAAATATCATGGGGCCCGTGATCGTGAAAAGGGAACCATTCCCCACGCTAGTTTCCTCCCGTTTTATTTTCGTGTTCGCACTTTCTCTCTTTTGAGCAAAATATTTGAATTGTTAATTTTTTTCGTTGAGTTTCAGCATTTTTTTGGTTCTTTCAATCTAGATGATAATTAGTGTTTGATTATAGGAGAGTAGAATAAAGGCTACCAGTGATCGCGAACACTGGAATTTCATCGGCAATCACTGAGTGCTATTATTTACTGGCGTCAACTATTTCTATCACATTCCGCTGGTTTATTCTCTCAGAGTTGAATAAAAGATGACGTTAAAAGGTCGAAATTGCATTTGTAAGCAGTTGAAATCGCGGACAAATATTAAAGTCAAAAGTTTTTTTTTTTTTTTTCTGTCAAAGTTTTTGAAGATCAGTTAAGTGTCATCGATCTTTGGTTTTTTGGAGCTTTTTGGTTTCTCCAGTGTCAGTGTTTCAGTCGAATTTCGAAGTTAAAAGAATTTTACCTTGCGTGAAACAAAGTTCAATTTTAACATCTGTATACTCCGAAGCCGGAGTTCTGGTTATTATCTGGCTAGGAAAGCTGATTTGTTCAGTGATACAGGATCAATTTTGTCACTGCAGATCCAGCTCCAACTGATCAAAGTGAGAAAACGACTGAGGCAGGAAACAGTGAAGAAGTTCCTGAAGCTGCTGAAACAACAGAGAACAGTACTGTACAGTTGACAAGTGAACAGCAACGCACATATGCTAATCTTCAGCCTATATTTCTAGCCATGGAAATGGGACAAGATGCAGTACAGGTTAGTCAAGGAGAGGAACAACATCAAGAAGCTACCGGCTCTACTACTGAGGAGATAGAACAGCAACAACAGCAGGCATTTATTGCCACTTCCAGTGAGCAGTTTACACACTCAAGCCAAGCTGCTAGCATGCTGCTTAGTAATGTAGTTACTACCTCAGGCACTGAACCCCCAGCTTCATTAGCATCAATTCTTCAAGATGTGGTATCTGGTATGCAGAGTGGTGCAGGATCTGTTCCAGCTGCTATAATAACAGATCCTAACTCTGGCAGTGGCTCTTTCCTGATTGTCAATCTAAATGTAGTGCCAATTGTGCGTCCTGTCCTTGTTTCAAATCTTCCAGCTGGAGGTGTTGGCCCAGGCGGAGCAGTCAGTGTATCTGCAGAGACTGTTCAAGTGTTAACTGCAGGTCTTCATACAGTTGATGATGGTTCAGGTGGTGGTCAAGAGACAGTCACAGTAGACGTTGGTGCTACTGAAGCTGAAGGTAGGTTTCTTAAGCATTTTTTTTGTGACAGAGGGATTTCTGTATGACCTTGAAAAATTGTCATTTGTTTCATTACTGAAAATATCAAAACAATGATTTTTTGCGTACATTTTGCATGTCGATGGAAAAAAGGCATTGTTCAATTGTCCAATTGATCACTGAGTATACAGTATGTATGGATTAATTTCTAGAGTGTAACATTCATTTCGCAATGTATAATGAAAGGGTAAAAAACCTTATTTAAAAAACGCTCAGTTTCAGACAATAATAATGTTTCAGGAGTACCCCCGTCATCACTTATGGCAAATGTTCCATCCTGAAGGGGCTGGGTTATCAATATAATTCTCTTCTATTTTTCTTCTGATTTCAGTTGGGTTGGCGCGAAATATATTCAGATTATATATTCAGTGTAGAATGAGCACTGGGAACTTTTCTTTTCTCCAAATTTTATTATCAATGTCAAATCAATTAAAAGTGGGTATTTCTCTAAGTTTGTAACTTACATGTAGGTGCGACTGCTGCAACTGGCAAGTTACCAGTAGAAGCCACGGTTGATATTGGTGCTGATGCTGTTACCATGGTAGCAGAAGCACAAACTGTGTCTCAAGCAGTTACCCACAGTGGTACAGACTTGGATGAAGGAGAAGAGGCTGCAGCTGCCTTGCAAAGTAGGATTATTAGTGTTACAGCTAGATGTACAATGAAATGGCCATGCACATGCTGAGTAGCCTGCGAATACAGCCGTTTCCTCTTTCTCCTCGCCGCTTGGGACGCTTCGCCAGGAGGAATGTCGGCGCATTTAGCGACAAAAATTTATACTGATGACGTTAAATCTGTCTGGAATCTGGTCAGGAGCTCTGACTGGTCCACATAGTAGTTATATTGTTCTACCTATTTTTGGAAACATACAAAATGCAAAAGGCCACAAAGGTCAAATGGGGTGGTAAACGCGATGAATCTCCTACAAAATAGTCAATATTCGTGGAATATATTCTTCTTTAAAAAAGGCATCTGAGTTTTGCTGGAGCTCGTTTGCAGTAGACCAAAAACTTAACCATTTTCAACCAGGAGAAACATAAAATCAAATAAATTCACATTTTGAACCCCATAACTACCGGTTTTCTTATGTTAACATTGATTTACGTCATCAGTATGGAATTTATGTCGCTGAGGCATAGACGCCGTTCCTCCTGAAGAAACGTCCCTAGCGGCGAAGGGCATGTTGAAACGGAAAGTTGTTTCCAAGCACCTGCTGCTACGCAGGTTAAGTTTATTCACTCTCTTTTCTCACGAAAAGGTTCTATTATTGACTAGCGAACTTCAGAAAATACCTGCAGATACACCTTTCCGATTTCCGACTGCTACCTACTAACGGTAATCTTTTTAGCTACGGGTCCAACTCGCGGCTTGAAAATTATATGTTCTCACGTCCTAGCCTGCATAACAGGTGCTTTGTTAGCCAAGCGAGGCGAACGCGGCATTTTGCGCGAAGCGCGATACGAGAAGAGGAGAAAATTAAACGCTACTCACATCCAGGGTGTAGTGCAGCCAAGCATTTTACTTGGTCTGACCCTGTGTGACACCCTAAAGTGGAACGATAACACCAACGAAATCGTTTCCAAGGCGTCTAAGCGACTGCACATTCTCAGGGTATTGAAGCACGCTGGGGTCCCTCCAGTGGACCTTGTCACCATCTATAACGCCCTGGTTCGTTCTGTCCTAGAATACTCTTCTGTTGTCTGGGCTACTTGCCTTCCTCGCTTCCTCATTGACCAGCTTGAAGCTATCCAGAAGAGGGCCTGCGAATCGTATACCCTGACCTCCACTATCAACAGGCTCTTACACAAGCCAACATTACCAGTTTAGAGGATAGACGCGTCCACCTGTGTCTTAAAGTGTGGCATAATATCAAAAATAACCCGGATGGCCAGCTGCAGCGCCTTCTCCCCCCCGTGCGATCCGAATGCCACTCTTACCATCTTAGGAACAGTAGCAGTGCTAGCCGCTTCCAGTATAGAACAAAACGCTTCGGTTCTAGTTTTTTCCCAGCAATGGCGAAAATTATCTAATCTTACGAGTCTAGTTACTCTAGCATTGTCCTTTATCTATATCTGAATTGTAAATAACTTATAAATAGCCTGTAATCCCAGTCCCTCTGAAACAAATGTAATTTTATTTTTAGTTGTAACTTATGTAAGCACATTGTAATTCATAGTTTTTATGCCACCATGTGTATTTTAATAAACCATCATTATTATTATATTATTGTTATTATACCCTATCCATTAGCAAGTACCCTTTAAATATATGAGACTATACTGACTCAGCCCAGTATGGCCAGGCCGGATGTAGCAGTTGGTTTGGGGTAAAAACTGAGCCGAAATTTAAACTAGGTGTCATCAGTCATCTTTTCTCGTTCTACAAACAAAGAAATATGTCAACTGATAATAATAATAATAATAATAATAATAATAATAATAATAATAATAATAATAATAATAATAATAATAATAATAACTGAATGCCATTATTTACCCTCGGCAGTATTTGTAGCACTAATGCTAGTGGGGCCGAGCAAATGTCTGAAACAAATAATTTAAATCAAACATAACAGGGTTAAGAATCCAAACTGGTCGGAGTTCGAATCAGTTGGTCATTTACAAGAGTAGCCGAGGATTTGAACTCGGGACTACCGTGAACAAATCCAGCTAGCGGTCAGAGCGGGACTTGAACTCGGAGCCTCCGCACTGCAAGTCCAGCGCTCTAACCACTCGGCCACGCTGCCTCCTCAAAAGGGAAATATAATGATACACACTTGTCTTGAGTTTAATATGTGTAATGTATTTGCTTTTTTTAGACAAAATAAAAAAGTGTAAGGCGAGGAGCGGCAGCAAATTAAAATGGTGCATCGGATGCAGGTACTGTTCATAGAGTGGTTTTCGTTTGAGTGTCGTAAAACCAAAACCAAAGTAATTACTCTGGCCAATCACATAGGACACAGACAATACATTGAACCAATCAAAACTCGAAGTAATTACATGTGGCTGACGCAAAGCGCGGGAAAATGCATGCGAGCGCGTCACAATTGGCTTTGGTTTTACTTCTGATTGGATGAAAAGGTGGCGCGAATCTTTTAAGCCAATCGCATCGTGTAGAAAGTGCAAAACCAATTACTTTTCGACACTCAAATGAAAACCGCTCTAAAAATTCATGTTTAATTAAGTTCTTTCTATCCCTCTTGGTCGACGGCTTGTAGGTGGTGGCCAACGTATTTCGACTTGAATTAAGATTATAAGGTCATTTATTACATGATAAACAGAATGTCATCTCCGTTTGAAACTCTCTCTTCAAATCTCATGTCCAGGAAACCACTATACCAGCAACTGTGATTCAATGATGTCCCACATCAGATTGTTTCTTACTCAGCTAACTTTCCTTTAATCGCAGAAAGAAAAAAAAATGCCAGCGATGGCCTGACAGACCCTGAGTGTATAGGTGAGTTATAAACATGTGTATAGATAACAATTAGTCGCCTGAGGCGACTAATTGTTTTAGTATAATAATTACATTGATGATTATTCGAGAAAATAAAACTATTGATCAATTTCCAACTCCTAAACATCAACAAATCTGGCTGCCATTTTGAAAACTGCTGGTCTTTAATGTTATAATCACCGCGCGGTGCTTATAGCGGGATTAAGCGAAGCTCCTAGCCAATCATAGCGCTCTATTTTCGATGATCATCAATGCAATTATACTAAAGGTGTATAGTAGAGGGCATAGGTGTGTACTTAACAATTTATTCCACGAGTGCGCGTTGGATATGAGATGGTACATAGCCAACGAGGCGCGTATAACCATTTCATATCAAACAAGTGCGATTGGAATAATTGTTTTATTTAAAAGGCCTATGAAATATCGAGAATTCTTCCCGACTTTATTTGTAAAGATAACCAATTTCACCTTGTTTTCAATTTGAGCAGACGCGTACATTTACCATATTTAATTTGGAGAGCATGGTAGAATGGCTCACATACCATGATGGTTAAGCCAATCAGAGCTCTGGAATTGCATTATCCAATGGTTCAGTTTTTAATAAAGATATTTATCCTATACCATAGAGAATACAGCCAATCAGAGAGCTAGAAACCCGTTTTTCACGAACAAATCCCGCTGATACTTGTGACCTCCACATTTTCACGCCGAAAATAGAACCGGTAGCAAAACTGTTCTTTGTAACAAAACTTCCAGAAGCAGAACACCCGAGTTTTAAATACCATTCGGAGTTTTAAGTCAAAGGTGAAAGAGTAGTACAATACCAAACCAAATAGACTAAAACGGACAAAGGAGTTAAGGAATTTTAACCGAGAGAAACTGGGAAAATAAACCTATTAAGAAGTGTAGCGAAGACCAAGATTGATCCAAATTTCAAACAACAAGCCTTACTAAATCCCTTCAGAAACTTTTCACAGCTCTCTTGCCATCTTCTTGAGGATGGGAGTAAAGTAAACAGAGGTGAATGCGAACTTAATCATTGTCAAGCTGTTGATCATTCGGGTAGTGTATGTAGTATTAGAAGTGACTTTTTTCGAGTTCTACTGTGATGTCTAGCGAGGTTTCTTTATTTTACGTAATGTTGCATGGGATAAATCAGTTATGCAATGCTTTCTGGTGGTATACTCTGAATATTCAACTCGTGATTTAATTTTTCTTTGTATACACATTCGCCTAAAGGCTCGTGTGTATACTTAGCAAAATCAAGTCACTCGTGGGATACTCCACAGTATACCACTTGAAAGCATACTATTGCATCAGACTAGTATGTATAGCATTACAGGTGTATAAGCTTAATTTACAGTGTACTGATTAAATAGTTGTCTATAGAATTGGTGTTTAAGTGAAAGTGAAATTCCAGTGGCGGATCCGGGGGAGGAGCCCGGGAGGGCCGAGGCCCCCTTATTTTTGGACCAAACTAAGGCCCGAAGAGCCGAAATAAAATTTATGGAGACCGCCGTCTCCCCCCCTCCCCTCTTATCTAAGGGTCTGGATGACCGAGCCCCCCTTATCTCAAGGTCTGGATCCGACACTAAATTCTTATAGTGGGCACAAGTCCTTTACAAAGCCAAACGAAAAACCCCAGCCTGAAGGTCAATATTATAGGGGAACTCATGCAAAAATGGACTTTTTAAGGGGGGGAGGGTACTCACCTATACATGTGTAATGACCGAACTTTATCATTCTCACTGTATTTTACCATTTTTGTCATTGGTATATTCTTAGCGATGATGAAATGATATTAGCCTGTGTACAGACCCCTCCCGGCTCTCTTAGTAATGAGGGGAAGGGGGTCTGTACACAGGCTAACATGATTTACACCTGTGTAAACTTGTACGTCGTTTCAATTACCCCCCGGCAATACCCCTGTCATGGATTCTAGAGGCCAGGTATAAATATGGGTGTGGAAAATAGCATCTTGGTAAGGCTCAGGAATTGGAGAATCAGGAGGCGTACACCTAGCCTGCGAAAACATCCGCTTCTCCTCGCTCTTCGCCGATGGGGACGTTTCGGGCGGAGGAGCTCCTCGCGAAACGTCCCCGGCGGGGAAGAACAAGGAGGAACGGATGTTTTCGCAGGCTAGCGTACATCTCCACCAAGAATTTCTAAGAGTAGCCTCACCCCCCACCGCCGCCTCTCCTCCCCCCCAAAAGAATAAAAATTACAATTAAAAAAGGTGTATAACCCCTAAACCCTAGCCTGAACTTCATCCGACTGCTGCGAGTCGTTTTCTCCTCTCAGCAACGTCTGTTACTGAGGGAGTAATATAACGAGTCGAAGTAATCGAATGAAATTCAGGCTACTTAAACCCACGTTTTATGCTATTTAGCACTCTTTTGATCTCATATCTCCTGACTTTACCTATAACTAATTAGCACACCTAGCTCGTACTTAATACTGACGGAAAAACCCAACTGAAGAGAGAAGGCTGGGAATGGTTGTGACGTCAGTGTTCTATGAGGCTTGGCTACAAAGTAATACAAGCGGGAGTTCGAGCGAGGATCGCGAGACCAAACTACCGGCGGCGTTCCTAAATACAATACAATACTAAATAATGAATGACAATTGTTAATGCAATGTAATGTAGTTTTTATTAATTTCTTCAAACTCGTTGGTAGATTTTGGCAATTTTTATCAGCATGATCAACGTTAGCTACATCACTGATGTTTTGTACGGAGGAGTAGACTTTAGTTTGCCGGGAAATGGAGGATGGGAGTGCGTGGAGTTCTTGACTTCAAAGCAACGATTAATCGAAACAGTGGTATACGAAACTTTCACCCTTTTTGTTTTCTGGAAAATGCTTGGACGTGTTTCTATCCCAAGAGAATTGCCCGCTTATAGGGAAGGCACTGGAGTTGGAAAACGACTTCTCTTGGTCTTGCTGTGCTTAATTTTTGGGATCGAAATCGGTTTCAAGTTCGCCACCAAGCAAGTCATATTTCTTCTCAATCCTTGCCATGTCGTTACGGCTATTCAGGTAAGCTTAATTTCCAAATTTTTTTCAAAGTTGAGTATGAGCTTTAACTTACATCTCCGGCCCTTGAAAAGAACGTTTGATCGCTCGACAAACGATCGCGCGACACGAGTGTCAACTGAAATCACCTTTTAGCTGTTATTCTTGAATGGGCTAATATTGCATTTTCATTTCCTTATACTCCCGGTTGAGGACTTACCTTTCCGTCTTATCCCTGAAGACTTCCATAAAATGTGGGTCTACCCCTTAAGAGTATAGGTCCTACCCCTGAAGAATATGGGTCTACTCCTGAATAATTTCGTGAAGAATTCTAAATGTTTATACTCTACCCTAAAGAAATCCTCCATTTTTCCGAGCGAAGCGAGGGCTCAAAATCACGAAAACGATTTAAAATCTTGTCGCGCGCGAGGCGTGTTGACCCATGTGGTCTTAGCTGCGTGCGAACTTGGCTTGCCCATCTATATATATTTGTTTGTTTGAATATATATATCACTCATTTCGGGATTGTATCAGCATCCAGTGTGACATCATGCACCATATGTAGTTCCTGTTCATGGTTCTCCTTGTGTTTCATTCAAGTTTTATTTATCGTCTGTTAAAGAAATTTTTATACTATCGGTAAACCACAAGCAAATTCCTTCAATGCAAATGACCCACAAAAGCAAACACAGTGACTCTGGATTCAAAAAGTGAATACAAATCCTCACTAGGGAGAACTTCTCTGGAGCAACATCAGATCACGAAATGAAATTTAGCGCGAGCAACGAAGAAGACAACAACAAGAACAGAAACAAGAAACCAAGATCTCTTTGCCCTGCGAAGAAGCCATCAACAACAGACTGGGGAGACCAGGGGAGAGGCTACAGCGACTACAGACATATAAAGAAAGCTGTTTTTGCGGTATTTTTTCGCTGCCTCTATATTCAATTCAATTCGATAATTGGATTAAATTAATGCAGAGGGACAAAATACAATGCAAACAAAGTCCAGGAAGAGAAGAAACTGCAGATGCTTCGTGAAAATGCTGCCAATACACAATGGATCCGCAATGAAAGTGATGGATCAGTTGAGGTAGTGCATTCCTGGAAGTTGGTGGTTGAAAATTAGCTTATATGTTCTTCGATGCAATGATAGGCAGTAAGAATTACACAATCTGTAAAATGCATGTGAGCGATATGTTTCCAATGGACTGAGCTAAGAACAGCCTATCACCCATAACACCATGAGTAACAACAGGTTCAGAGTGATCGGAGATGGTAAAATTTCACTGTAAGCTTAGTATGTATGAACAATCTAGAACATAATGTGTGACATGTAAGTACACTGTAGAGAAACGTTACATTTGTGAACAAAGTCCTTTTTTATTTGCAATTTAAGTTCATAACCTTTAAATTTGTCCCAGTAACCATCCCATATAAAATATTATAATATTTTGCAGCCTGGGACATAAACACGGCTGTGTCTTTTAAGTGAAACATAACAAAAATTAAGTATTGCTTACCTCCATTTCGATTCTATTATACAAAAAGAACATCTGCATTTCAGAACTCCTGAGAATATTAGTGTATGACATGGTTGTCATACTACTTCATTGTTTGCTGATTTTTTAAAATTTGTCACAGAAGTTAAACATGTTCAATTGGCGGAATTTTTTTCAAGAATTGGAAATTAAACAGCGAGCAGATATAGGGTTAATGTTTCCTGTAAAACAAATCCATTCTTCTTTTACTAGTGGGATAAATAATCATGTAGTATTCATGTAATGAACTGCATCCTCAATGATATTTCTTCATGTAATTTCTATTTCAGTGATTTTTTTTTTCCACCTTACTGTGTGTACAAACAATAGTTGTCAAGTATGATTATGTAAAAAAGCAAGTGCAAAAGCTCTCATTGCTGTAGTCCACTAACAATAAAATAAATCACTTGTTGTTTTCACTTCAGCATTATTCCTGCCACTTTATCTCATTAATTTGATACCCATGCAGTATTGAAAACAACTATATCTGCATTTGAGGGCTATAGCATATACCACAACTGACACTCTTCACACATTATTTTAGTATTATTACAATGTTATTATAGGAGATGACACAAGTTAGCTGTTATTAAGCAAATGCCACCACATATTAGCCTGCAGTCATCCACTGTCATACCCTTTTTTGTAAAGAGCTTCCTTGGCTGGTGTTCTGGCCGGGGTTTGNTAACAAAAATTAAGTATTGCTTACCTCCATTTCGATTCTATTATACAAAAAGAACATCTGCATTTCAGAACTCCTGAGAATATTAGTGTATGACATGGTTGTCATACTACTTCATTGTTTGCTGATTTTTTAAAATTTGTCACAGAAGTTAAACATGTTCAATTGGCGGAATTTTTTTCAAGAATTGGAAATTAAACAGCGAGCAGATATAGGGTTAATGTTTCCTGTAAAACAAATCCATTCTTCTTTTACTAGTGGGATAAATAATCATGTAGTATTCATGTAATGAACTGCATCCTCAATGATATTTCTTCATGTAATTTCTATTTCAGTGATTTTTTTTTTCCACCTTACTGTGTGTACAAACAATAGTTGTCAAGTATGATTATGTAAAAAAGCAAGTGCAAAAGCTCTCATTGCTGTAGTCCACTAACAATAAAATAAATCACTTGTTGTTTTCACTTCAGCATTATTCCTGCCACTTTATCTCATTAATTTGATACCCATGCAGTATTGAAAACAACTATATCTGCATTTGAGGGCTATAGCATATACCACAACTGACACTCTTCACACATTATTTTAGTATTATTACAATGTTATTATAGGAGATGACACAAGTTAGCTGTTATTAAGCAAATGCCACCACATATTAGCCTGCAGTCATCCACTGTCATACCCTTTTTTGTAAAGAGCTTCCTTGGCTGGTGTTCTGGCCGGGGTTTGAACTCACAGCCTCTAGGGCTGGGTTGTTCAAAGCTGGGTTAAGATAACCCAGAGTTAGTGCAAAATTTGAATTCAGATTTGAAAGATTAAAAAGTAAATTCAGTTTAATTCTTTTTGTCTACAAGTTGATGACTGGAAGCTCTAAAAATAACAGAGAAAATTATTGGAGAAAATGCTTTTGAAAACAAGAAAAAGAAACCAGGGTTAAATTTAACCCCTGGTTAAGTGCTAATCGGCCTTCGAACAACTGGGACCAGCTCAGCAGACCAGCATGAAAAGGAGAGCTTGTAACAAGGTCTCAGGAATTTGAATAGTCAAGTTTTGAGTTTGTGCTGACTACTGAATAAAATCCGTGAAGATGCATTTTTCTCTATATTCTCTATAGTCTCTATATTCACATATAATTCCAGTGAGAAGAGCACCTATGTAAAATGCTGTATATTCAGGGCTGTGCTCGGCCTCATGGGCCATTGACTAAGAGCCCGTTTGAGCTCGACGAATAATTGTTAAGTATATATTTTTACAATATTTAGTCATAAATACTGATATACCTCCAAAGTGAAACGAATCATGCTTGACTGGTATTCATGGAAATTCATACCGTGCAGCATATCTGGATAGAATGAAACCTAGTTAACACATGGCAAATTTAAGTGTCAATGATGGTTAGCTTCTATTATTGAGGAATACTCTGTACTCCCAGGTAGAGTAAAATGTATGGATCATGAATGCCATATATAAACCCATTTTATAACAATGATGAATCAAATTTGTTTCTCTTCATGGCACTTGGTTATTGTCTGTATGAGGTGTATGTATCATATAGTGCCTCCATTAAAGAGGTCTAACTAAGGTAATTAAATTCTGCATATTAATGATATGTGATTGAAAAATCAACATAAGTCAGATAAATTTATTAATGCAATTTTGAGCAAAGTTTTGAAAGTCTGTTTTGTATTTTGTATTTTTTTTTGGCAGATTTATTTGTTAGCAGTTCCTCCAAGTAAACGTGTTTTGTGTGTATTTAGGTAAGGACACTGTTTAATGGATGTTAAGGCATCATTACTACTACTACAACTCCTACAACCAGGAGTCAATTTAATAAAACTTTTACAGCTGTAATTTACAAGTGTAGCTATTGTTCTCAGACTCTAAAACAATGGCTATATTTGTAAATTACATGTTTGAAAGTTTTATTAAATTGAGCCCTGGATTCTTCAGGGTTTTGCTCTCTTTTGCAAATTAGGGCTTTTNTATGTATCATATAGTGCCTCCATTAAAGAGATCTAACTAAGGTAATTAAATTCTGCATATTAATGATATGTGATTGAAAAATCAACATAAGTCAGATAAATTTATTAATGCAATTTTGAGCAAAGTTTTGAAAGTCTGTTTTGTATTTTGTATTTTTTTTTGGCAGATTTATTTGTTAGCAGTTCCTCCAAGTAAACGTGTTTTGTGTGTATTTAGGTAAGGACACTGTTTAATGGATGTTAAGGCATCATTACTACTACTACAACTCCTACAACCAGGAGTCAATTTAATAAAACTTTTACAGCTGTAATTTACAAGTGTAGCTATTGTTCTCAGACTCTAAAACAATGGCTATATTTGTAAATTACATGTTTGAAAGTTTTATTAAATTGAGCCCTGGGTTCTTCAGGGTTTTGCTCTCTTTTGCAAATTAGGGCTTTTGACTTTTGTTGGTTAAACCTCACTGTAATTTATACCAGATTTAAATATATAAGAAAAAACAAAATGAATTCCGGTATAGTAACAAGAGTAACAAGATGTAATTGTGCAAGTGGCCTATTACTGTAATGCTGTACTTCAAAGCCAATCTTGGTTTTAGGGTCACACATTGTTCCATCCCACTCTTGCATTATGGGGAAAATGGAGATCTTTAAGTAGCTTTCATTTGAATTGTCACATTGAAGGATTTCACGCACAGACCCATAAGTTAAAACAAGTGCCCTGTGCACTGATCCTACAAAATGTGATACCACAGGAGAGTACTGCTCAGTAGCTTTGTTTTTAATTGTTGATTCTTTACTATTTCCTCGTTGCTCTCAAACTAAACAGTGCAAAGGTACTGATCAGCAGCTTTCATTTGAATAGTCATGCCCTCAAACTCAATATGAAAAAGAGGAAAGGAATGCTATTGTAGCTGCAAATGAACTGGCGTACACTACTTTAATATATTTGAAGCCCTCTATATTTCACCGCAGGACACTTTGTTGCAGAAAACCACATCTCGATAAACAAGTTCTGAAAATTTCAATAAAAGACATTAACCCCTATGTCGAGGACCAAAGAAAGCAAAGGCTAACGCAGGAAAGTCAGTTAACAGCTAATCCAAAATTGGCAAACCTTATCAGTGTAATCTCCAGGTGTACATGAAAATGACGCAACAGTTTATGCAATACGAAATGTGAAATCTATAGGCTTGGCGCTTATACTATCCGCACACCCACGTGGGAATAACATACCATGCTAAATTAGCATAATACGCTAACAGCTCTGAACCTTAAATTTGACATTACAGTAATATTTTGGGATTTTCTTCCACAAACTTAAATTTGGTATCACCTCTTACACCATAAGAATCATCATCACAAGGATGCCAAGATAGTCATGGTTAATAACCTTTGCACTTATTGTTGTGAGATTTCTTACCAGATTTTATCATCTATGTTTTTGCCAATATGGTGCATTAACTTAATGGTACTTTCATTTGCAGAGTTCATAATTATTTACTTTTTGGTGCACTTCAGGCCATCATATTCCCAGTAGTAAACACTAGACTGGTAAGTCAAAAAATGCAGTGGTTTCCATCAAACCTGTCCTCACAGACGTCTTTGTATAATACATTGCAGGGTCCTAAACTTCTTATTGTCTGTTCCCTATTGCTATATTAATAATTATCAATTTTAGGACACCTTAATAATGAAGCCAGCTGGGTCTATGCCTTTGTGGTCTGTGTCAATTTTTTTAGTTTAGTTTTTTTTTGTTTTTAGTTTAGTTTTTTCTCTAGACCCTTTCTGTTCAAGTGAATTTGTTCAATTCCAGTTTAAGGGTTAAGACTGATGATTTCACAAGCAATACAGGGGACGTAGATCCTCAAGGGTGGATAAGGGCAGTTCAGAGTTTTGAAAAATTACACTAATAAACTATTATTAAATCATAATATAAAATTATTTTTTAAATTTTATTCTTTATGCAAAGTTCTGTTTTTTCTTTGGTTTTCAGTTACCATTTGAAGTTGTGACATACTGGCTACAGCATATCCTTATTGTACTTGTTGTGCCATTTTTTCTAATAACATGCCAAGGTTAGTAATCTGTATTATTATTCATTCAAAATACTTTGCCGTTTTGGCTTGGCTCCAATCTCCTGGCTAATTCTAGATATTAATCAACTAGCTCTCATGCTATTCAATGGTATATTGCCTAATAACCCATCAATCAACCTGGTTTCCTGGCAGAGGTGCAGGAGCCTTGGTGAACTAAAAAAAAAAATTGGTGTTCACAGCTCTCCAAAGACAACATGGCCTAATAGACCATTTTTGATACACTAAAATTCATACTTGGCTACAAGGTGTAGGGGAATAAAACAAAGAAATGTGTTTTTCATAGTTGAGCCCCAAGATGATTTCTTTTGTCTTATTCCCCCAAGCCTCACCACCAAGTATGAATTTTAACATAATTTATCCGAATTGGTCTATTAGTTCAACTAAAACTAAATGAAAGAATGTACTATCACAAAATGTGTGTGTATTTATTGCTCAATGGATGTCATCTACTTTTAATTATAAGGAGTATCTACAAGAAAAAAACATCTGTTTATAATTTTATCTTGAAACAGTGCCGAGAAACAGGTTTAAGGGGTGTCTACAGATAGGTTAGATTGTTAAGAACTTGGAAATGCTTTGAAAGATAATAAAACCATTGTTGTCTTCAGCTTTTGAACTATGGGAAGAATAATGTGGATAATTATTCTTCACATCATACTCAGCCACTTTCAATAATATTGGTAATGATAATTTGTCCTGCTATTAGCCATGAGAGTTTTTAATACCTCCCTAAAAGTGATGCCTTATTATTAAATTTTAGTATTTTATTATTAATTACCAGAAAGGAACATCACCCTTAAGCTAGTGGGTATTACAAAGATTCCCTCTGGAACAATTCCATTCAAGCAGATTCACTGAAGACTTTTTTTTGAGTTATGCCTACTCTAGCTTCTAAATTTTATTTTATATCATTCCTTTTAATACAGGGCCATTTACTTTAGAACCTGTGTGGGATTTCACCTGGGCAACTTTGACGTTCACCTTGTTTTCATTCTACATGCTTTTGTTTCTTCAGCCTTTGGGAATGGTAATAATAACGTTATTTTTATATTATTGTACTGTCTTAAACATAAACAGTAAATACAAATTTAACACTTAAGTGGAAAAATTTCATAATTACTTACTGCTGAGAACTTTGTCTTTTAGGAATTTAGGAATTGATCTTTTAAAGTACTCCTTTTTTGTAGCCAAAATGACACCTTCTCACCTTGTGAGCAATTCATTTTGTATCAAAAATTTCTGCATAAACAAAACAACTTTCTTTAATGTACCAAAAATGTTTTGATGGTCCATCGTCATCTTCAGTGTCACATAGTGTGAAATTGCCATTGAATTTTCAGGGTGTGCATTGTAACAAAGTTTGTTACATTGCATTGACATTATTGCCTACTTAAAAGTTTATATTAACGACGTTAAAAGACTTACAGGGACAGATGTCGGCATCTTCAGTGTTACATTTTGTGAAATTGCCATTAAATTTTAAAGCGCACACAATGTTACAAAGTTTGTTATATTGTGTTGTCAATATTCCGTACACTTACAAAGTTTATATAAGTGACATTGAGGGACTTACAGGGAGAGATGTACTGTCAAAACATGTTACATATCTATATCTGAGGTTTGTTTTTCTTTTACAGATCCTTCACGTGAACCTCAATAACACGATGTGCCCTGCACTCAGTGATCCATTCAGTGGACCATATTACAGAATTATTGCCTGTTGTCATCAACCAGCTATGATGTTTCTTATTGGAAAGGTTTTTTGTATCATTGGACATGAGTTTGTTGCCCTTCTGTACAGAACACAGCCAGAAAAGTTAGAGTAGATAGAGTATTAAGATTAATTTTTTATTACGAGAATACTCAGAGCGGTGATTAGCCTTGCCATAAAATAATATTATTCCATTCTAGGATTTGTTTAATGTGTAAGAGCCTCAAGTAATAAATTATATCTTGCACTGAAGATTTCACAAGGCTAAACAGATAAAAAGGGGAAACAGCAGAAACTTAACTTATATTTACACTCAGGCAAGCTGAAGTGAATTCTTGTATATATTCATGTAACAAGTATTACAGAAATCATAACTTATAATCTTTTAGATGTAATTTCCTTTCTTTTTTTGATGGGAGAAGCAGTCTCAAAACTGCTAAAAATATGCACTTCTAGAAATTTCTTTCCCTTTCCATTTTAAGGAAGCATGTTATGTAGATTGTTTTAGATACATGTGGATAGAATTCTGAAAATGGGCCCCTTATGTCACTTCCCCCTTTAGAATCTTAAAAACGGCCTTTCAAAAAGGAAAGCTTCGGCATGTTTTAAATTCTTTTTCTCATTATATAAAGAATAGCATTAATAATTATTGATACTTCAGACCAAAATGTCCAGCTGTAGTAAGATGAAAGTGCAATTCATGTGTGAAAGTTAGCTTGCTGCTCCTGTTTCGATGGTGTAGTGTAATGACAGCCATAGTGTTTCTGGTTTGCAGGGGGGGGGTTACGGGGAAGGGGGTGGGTGGGCTGGTGAACCATGAAAATTTCAGTGGGTGTGTTGTAAATATTTTTAGCACAACACAATAATCATGGTTACTATTTGCTCAAATAATCTTGATTCTGTGAAAAATTAATAACAATTTCACTAATTTCTATGTTAACTAGAGCTTGTAAATTGTATAAATAGTTGAGTACTTTCAGCTAAGCTATAAAGTTCGGTCTTTGTGGGGGTACTTTCCTAAGACATGAAACTCCAACAACTGAAGTAAACACATAAAATGTTTATCATACAAATCAGTAACAGTGAGGATGTTTGTAGCTGTTTGAAAAGGAAAATGATTTCTCTAGGGTTGAAACATTGAGTGCCTGTCATTCATTTTCAAGTTGGTGCATATAAATAGTGACAACAAATATATTTTTCCGTCTTTTTGTTTTTGTTTTTGTTTTTTCAAAAAGCCCTGAAACCTTATACCGTTTTGTGCGAAATAAATTGACTTGTGCGATAATTCGACAGGTTTCATGTATTAGAATTAGTTTTCAAGGTCTTAAAAAAATAAAACCGGCGTTTGAATGATAGTATATTACATGGGAAGGAGTCTTTATTCGAAATCCAGATGATGAGAATTAGTGGGTTGATAGAAACCATTCACCGATGAGTTTTTTTTTACCGACTGTAGTGTATCTGGGTTTGATAAAGCTTCTCAAAATTGTGTCTAAAACATTCTTCAAGGTCTACAAAGGAAAGTTCTTAAACATTTGTTGCTTAAGTATAACTACAGTTTTTCAAACAATGATGTATTAAACAAAAACTTCATCTGTGTTCAATGCCAAGTTTCTCTCATGAAGTAGTTAACACTGAGTGCAAAGTTAACAAAAACAGGCAACCTTGAGCTTTTCTTTGTTGTGCAAAATTTATTTATCAGATCATAGATTATGTTATTTATATGATTTAAGAAAAATGGTCATAAATAAATATGGACACGCTTTACTTGTTCGTTTGGTTTTTATCTCGTCTCTTATGAATATTAAGGAGGTCGATAAACAGATACCAGAAACTCATTTCAACCCCTTATGGGTTTCTGCAGATACTAACAAAGTTACCACAAAGAATAGAAACCGAAAGACTCAACATCCGCACAGCGGGAGCCCATGACCTGATCTGGGATAATAAAGCTGAAGGCTTTCTGACTTAGAGATTACTATTACAAGCTGCAGTAATAACCTGGGCGCCAGAGACTTGTCAAGCGTAGTTTTTAGGTGTTTCGGTTTTCCTGTTTGCGGCTTTGGCCCTAGTTTCCTTGCAGCCATTTTTGTCTAGTCACGCAACGCTCTTCCCCGGGAAAAGCGTTGCGTGACGAGAAAAACAGGGCGCTGGAGACTACTTTGTTCTGTCAGTGTGGCCGACTACGAAGCAACTCGCGCGCCGAATTCGAAAAAAAATCCTTAGATAACCAGGGTATTGCAACCTGGGCTTGGTGGAAACTGTGTGATATCAGACCTTTTCTATTTCCAGTGACGGATTGGAGAGAACCCTCAGAACAAGGTTAACCAGTGTTTGATGACGTCAACTAACCACCTTGAAAAGATTGATGGGCCGTGACTAGGAACAAACACTTCACTGGCTATGGCTTACAACAAAACAAGCATTTACAGCATTTCAGGGATAGAATTTACTCTTGGACAGAAAATCTTTTATTGAAAAAATAAGTTAGGAATCTAACCATCAACGTTAGGTTAATGCTGTATGAACGACTTTCCCCCGGGCGACTTTACACAAATTCTGCAACTTTTTTCACTTTCTGACTACCCTGCGAGCAGAGGCTACATTTTCGCGATATGAGATGGCGTGCGAAAAGTAGCTCATACGGCGAGAATGTAGCCTCTGCTCGCAGGGTACTTTCTGACAAGCTTACAAAAGTCAGCAAGCTGGTCATTGAGGTCAGGACTATTTAACAATTAAGAGTCAATAGCCTCACTCCGGCTTGGTTAGTTTTGCGTCGTAACTATTATCTGGTGATCAACCTAAAATGATTTTTATTAATACTTACCAACTGTAACTCACTATTGGAACACTCCAACAAGATTAACTTACACGTTGGTGTTCTAAATCCTTTGCTGTGACCATTCAAATGAAACCTCTTCGACAGTATTTTCACAAGATGCTACTTATTTTTCAATATTGCGGAAGAATTAAATCATAGATCATTAAAGATCCAAGTGTCTAACTGGGCACTGTACAGTACACGACCTCCTGAACGGCACGGGTTTGCCTCGAGTTCCTTATTCCTTTGTTTGCTATTTTCACCTAAGAGAGGGGAGAGTGGCCAGGGACCGAGAGTTGGGTTCTTTCTTGCCGGCTCCTAAGGCCTAATTATATTCATGATATATGCGTCTCACTTGGCCCGAGTTCGTCTCGGCGGAAGGCCAAACGCCTCGTAAGAGACCAAAGGGTTAAAAGCAAATAACTTCTTAATTTGAATCAGCGCAGCACATTGATATTAACTATCAAATTATAATAATGTAATCGCTTTTTGACAAGACCGTTGTCTAAGTAACGGGAACATGACGGGGGGGAGGGGTCGGCGGAGAAGAACGTTCAAGACAGTCGACACTGCGTGAAGAGCAATAAGGAATTTTCAATCTTATCATGACCGGGGAAGTAGTGTCACCACTATTCATTTTCATTTCCAATGTACATTTTTCGTTTCTTTTGCGGGCATTTGCGTAAACTCAAAACTCACTTAATTATGTCTGCATTCATATTTGTCTTTACGGTTGTCTTATCTGTTGAAAAAGCGAAATTTGGTATTTGATAGTAATAATTAATTGCATTTGTAGTGTTTGTAAGTTAAAAAAAAGTAAAGGAATCTGACGTGCCTTCCGTGAAAAAAGAGAACATTTTAACCAATCACTTTACCGTATTTGCGTCACGTGACCAACGTAAATGGCGGTCCTTCCCTCTCGCTTGCCTCGTGTTCAAGTTTGATGCATCGATAATTGCCTCACAAATAAACTGAATTCAGAGGCGTTTGCAAGGAGAAAAATACCGAGGCAAGTATATGTACAATTTCCAGTTTTGAATAACGAAATTCCTGATTAGAAAACCGTAACTCGGCGACTGAAACCGACTTCAGCAAATAATCTTTGTGACTGATTTAGCGATGGCGTCTCTTCCGTTATAGGTAATACTGAAGGCGATCGATTTCAAATTGCTTGAAAATGTCCTTTGAAGAAGGAGGAGATCTCGCTTCCTTTGCTGCTATCGCTGAATCTACGATTGCCAATAAGGAAGGTAGGTTTTAGAAGAGTAGAATACGACTATTATATAAGCAAGTAAGCTAACTGTTCCCCTGGTCGATCCTTGAGTAAGCTTCATTTCGAAACCGTTCCTTGCTGTAAACACGCTTACAAACACTACATCTTCCTCACGAAACTTTGACAATGTTTTAAAGACGGTCTTGCCGCGAATCAAACGTGAACTTGAGGAAAAGTTTTGCTGTTTTCCGGGACCCAGGCCTTCCGACCTCTAAAAGCAAGTCCCAGGTCTTCAAAAGATTTTAGCGTTATGGCCGTCGCCCCAGACTTCTGACAAAAACCTTTCCCAATCTTTCTCAATCTTCAAAGCGTAAAAGGTTTAGTTTAGGTGATTCTGTGGATTGTTCATTGACCAGTACTTTTCGCTACTTTCTAAAGACATCTGCGTTGTGAATCGCGTATGTGATGTACGAAGACAGCCTTCTTTCTTCGCGACGAAGCTTCAATTGTAGTATTGCGCGTCATTCTGTCGCCCAATTTACTGAGTTTTTCTTTGAGTGATCGTGGCTTGAAAGGGACGTTGGACAAGAAATATTTATCGGGGGTTTTCAAGGAAGATTCTACTCTGTAAATCTTGGACCGTTGATAACAATAAACAACTAGAGCGTATATACAAAAAAAGGTACAGCGTGAGTTTTCGAGGATTTCAATCGCCATTTATAAAACTTATTAACATAAGATAAGCTTATGAAACATTACATTACAGCACATTCTGTTGTTTTCATATTTCAATGCATGTTTTGTGTTAGCAGTGTGTGTAAGATCCGATAATTCTCATTTTCATGATAACCTTACAGTCATATAATCTGTTTTTGTTTTTGTTACGATTGAGGTTATTGTTTAAAATGAAACCTTAATATTTTAACTTAGGGAAGGTTCCGCTGGAGGATTAAGGCATTTTTCTGGCTAAATTGAGCAAAAGGATGACACTTATTATATGTATAATGTTCAGTTGTATTTAAAATAGTAAGAATAAACTAAATGCAAAACAGGAGGTAAGGTGTCGATAACAAAAAAAAAATCACTATTTTGACTAAAATAAGTGATATTTGCAAAAAGTACCTAACGTAGAACATTTGCATTACATATTTACTCTGAACCTAAAAACCCCGAGTTTATCTGTCATTATTATATGTAGGAGAGTGTTTTACTGGGAACTAAACCACTCGTAGATTCCATACGCCACTTCATCCGGGACCCGAGTGGCGTATTTTCCGTATGTCACCTTTGTGAGTGTCGTATCGTTCAATGACGTCACGATTCCCACCTTTTGCTTTTGTTGAATTGGTTTCTCCATATAATAAAAAGAACATTACACGTTGGCTCGAAGATATGAATTTTATGTTCTCGTGGCAAGAACAATATCTCACTCGTTCGCTTCGCTCACTCGTGAGATATTGTTCTTGCCACTCGAACATAAAATTCATATCTTCTTGCCACCGTGTAATATCCTCTATATATTCACTAAGAAATTATGGCAAAAATGATGGGAGGAATTGTGATAAAATGTGTTTGGGAAATAAGTTGGCAAGCATTACTCCAAAGGTACAAATAATAATAATTTCTTGACTTTCTGATAATATTTAAAAGTTCATAAATAAGCATCCCTTTGTCACAATAAATGAAAGAAACTATTTGAAGTTTACACCTCTTCTCACAGCAAGAAGTCTATC